CCGAGCCGGTCGAGATTCCAGTCTTTCCTCGCGGGGAAATCCGAGATCGGAATATTTAAATGTCGGTGGGATGTGACCTTGCCCTTCCATCGAATTTTCTTCTCGTTCTGACCGAATGAGAGATAATTCTGTGCACGTTTTGGGCCCATTCAGGCGGACCGCAAAGTTGAAGCCGATTTTTCTAATCTAATATTGCAAATAAAGCAGCTAATGTTGGCGTGTGTACTGAGACTAAAGCATGTATTTTTTGACGTGATTTGTGCGCAAATTGTTTTAATTTTCATAAAACTAAACTATGATCATGGACAAATAAATAACTCTATATCCCCTTCACGTCCATCTCTTTTCCTCAACGCTTCAACACTCTTCCCATGACCTCAGATGACAGATAGGACTGATGACCTCTAGATCAGTGGTTCTCAACCAGTGGGCCGCAGAGGTGAGTGGGCCGCAGAGGTGGGTGGACCGTGACAAATATTCGTAAATCTAAAAATAGGAAGCAACAGGTAGAGGAACAATAATTATATGGCTTTTAAGTCTGTAGTGGGCGGCGGATCACTTTGCAGTTGCTAAGATGAGCCGCAAGATCGAAAAGGTTGAGAACCACTGCTCTAGATGACCGACTTCTATCTCCTGATTTTCTTTTAAAGCTTACGTGGTGAATTTAAGAAGTTCGAGGCGACTTCCTTGGGAAAACCGTTTGAAAGAAACCGTTGTCCTTCGAGCGCCTTTCAACATGGGACGTCCCTCCCCTTTCCAGACAGCCACCTCTACGATTAAGAGGCAGGAACTATACACCTACAAGTCTCTGTACCTATGCACAGATATCTAGCGTACAGAATCGTCTTCAAGTAAATGCTATTCCATTACCAAAATTCAACATGGGACCCCCCCCCCCCCCCCCCCCCCGCCCCCGCCCCCGTCACCTTACACTTGGCAGCGATGAAGCCGCTTCTGGAAGGCGGCACCAAAGATTTCCGTAGATGCACGTTTGCTGAAAAATTGCTGAAGCCAACGCAGCACGGTTAAGAAATCGTTACCGCAGGCGGTCATTCAGGTCGACCAAAAGTCAGAGGTGAAGGCCCAGAGAAAGAAGGTGGGTGTGGAAGCACTTCAACGTTATTATCCAAAAATTTCGGAGCGAGATTTGTGGTGTGGGGGTGCATCGTCACGGTCCAGAATCAACCGTGACGGTATTGCTGGGATGGGCCTTTTCAGGCTTTTTTTTTCTGGCGTGCCCAGTAGAAAAAAGGGTCAAAGGTCGGAATACTAATGTTCGGTGATAGAAAGACCTTAGGAACAGGATGAATCAAAATGCCCCAAGCATGCCCAAGTGGCAGAAAAAAATGCCCTCAGATGGCCGAGTCGGGGTTCATTTGCATCGCAACAATGATGCAAATGAGCCACAGAGCCCCGACCGTTACCGTCGTATTGTAGGATAAGTTAACATTGACGTGTTTCCATGCCAACCCTTTTCTCTCGACCTTGCCCTCGATGACTTTTGGTCGTTCCCCATCCGCGACGTGCTGCCTCTTCCGACTCGACGATTTTCCCGTAACCCGAAAGTAACGCCTTCGGAAACCTTTGGTGCTGCCTCCAGTAGTGGCTGGATCCCTGCCACGTGTGTGTGGACAAAAGCCTGACGAATTTTGGAAAATGACGCGGACGACACTCTGTCCCGAGTGGCTTTCCAGCGGTAAATTAACGCTAAGTTGCACCTCGCCGTACATAAAAAGTATTTTAAACGGTTCTTCCGTTTTTTAGCTTCCGCACTTGTCTTTAGTTCGATTTTGCTAGAATCTGCTTGCTTCGCCTCTCTTCTCCCTCCATTTAAAACAACTGCCGTAGAGGAAGTATACATAAGTAGTATACATAAGTAGTATACATAAGAGGAAGTATATATATTTTTATCTGGAAGTCGGACTTTTCTAAACGTTGCGGGAAACATCTGTCTGAGTGTCAGAACACTTCACCACGAAAAAAAGGGGCTTGGGGGACAAGTAAGGAGAAAGGACAAGCCAATCGATGCTATCGGAGAAACTGGACATCCTGTTTTTGAAAGTAATTCCTGGAAATACAGGAAGAAATATCTGATAGACTCGATTTAATTGGAAAGCAAATATCCGGTTTTCGTGGTTCTCCCTTTGACAAGCCAGAACCCAAGAAAGAAGTGGGAAGGGACCAGCTCGAACCTCTTCGGACCAGAAGGAAGAACTCGTAGGATTTGGCACGGGCACGTCCCGACCGGTGGAGGTTAAAGGAGTCCGTCGAGTTAGTGAGTCGGTGAGAGCCGAAGCGAGTGGATCTTTGCTCTGTGGGTTCTTCGTTTCGTCAGTCAGAACCATCGGTTTCGTCACTTTCGTCGATTTCAGGGCCTTTCACATGACTCCAGCGAATCTGTACCGAAGGAATACATTCCACATGCATTACGCGCATCGTTTGGCATTCGAGTTAATCGTTGATGTCGCTGAATTTTTTTACTGGAATCCCGCCGGTTTCCATCAGAGGGAAAATATTCATTAGTAGAAGATGGGGTAAAGTAAAAACCACGGTCGGCCTCTTCCATGTTTACGGTGACGAAAATTTGCATGCAATCATGGGTATGACCAAAATGGACAAAGAATATCACTTGGCAGCTTCATCTCTCTTGCTTCGAGGAACGCTCCAGGCTAATTCCTTTTTTCGCTTTCCCCTGAGTGTTGGAAAGTGAAGCATGGGATGTAGCTCCTTCGTTTGGTAGGAATGAACTTTTTCGTGGGGGGGGGGGGGGGGATCCTTTGCATTTCCCCCTTTGCAAATGTAAATTTTACAGTCGTTACAAAAATTATATTCCCTGACTTATGCTTAAAAAAAAATAGTGCATAGGAGACATTAAAAATGAGATATGCCTTACTTTATATACAGGCACATATTGATATCTTGAATACCAGCTGGGAGGCTTATTTGATTGCTCTTTGGTTTTGCACAGCCTCAAAAATATTCTGCAAGAGAGCATTTGAAAGCATAATCACATCCCTGGCCTTTGAGGATCAGCTTAGGCAACTTTATCAAAATCTCAGAATTTTCTCCAAATTCTTCATCTGAAGCCTTGAAGATGGTCTTCAGTATTCATTTCATTACAAGAACAATGGAATTGTTCCTCGTCCCTGTTTCAAGGCGTGTTGTATGCTGTGAACATCCTCACATAAATACACTGTATATTTTCCCCTTTCTAACCCCTGAGATTTTAGTACAACAAAGTTTCTTGGACGGAGACACTTCGAATCCCAGCGACGCAAAGAAAGGGGGGGGGGGGATTCCAAGGTTTCGGAGAAGCCATCCCCACCCTCAAATGAGGCCCATGAAGGAGGGGGGTGTGATGGTCTTCCCTTTCATCCGAGCAGAAATATTCCCAGCAGCCAGAACAGTCACACCTGAACTTATTGGGGCTCAGCAGCCTCAACAATTTCTCCGATTAGGGCGGGCGGGCGACATCCCCACCTCCCTGCCCCCCAACTCGAGCCCGGGTGCGGCACTGTCCAATCTCCTTTTCTTCCTGTTTATGCTCGAATCCCGATGAGCACCATCGCCAGTGACAATTTTTACATTTGCTTCGCTCTCAGAGCAACTCGAGTGGGTCTCCATCGCCTCCTTCCGATGTTGGGGGTGCTCAAGTATTTGTTCCTGCTCCTCCAAGCTCTTCACATCTTTGCTAATCTGCCCTTTACCCTGCTCATTTTATGAGCAGGCATTAACCCCTTGCTCTTGGAAGTCGGAAATCCTTTCCACTCTCATCTCAAAGTTTTTGCTGAATAAAACCATTTTCTCAGAGGATTCTCCGTACCAAACACCACACTCCTTGCCGCTGCATGAACACACACTGCAACTGTCGACTGAACTACACCGTAAGAAGCTGCAGTCCCATCGCGGACGTGAGCCGACTCGGTACGAAGGCGTTTCGTGCAGGAAACGAGCGCTTCCCTCTCCCCCGGATCCAAATTAAGGACGGCTGGAAGTGAAGCGAGCAGGCGAAGGTCACAAGTTTCAAGGTGAAGTTCTTGACTCTGCACTTCATCGAACTCTTCTGCAACCCTGCGTGGTCTTAATTGCTTGATGAAGCACGTTCTGCTTGTAAGAATAGACCTCTGACGGGAAGTGATCCATTAAGGGAAAATGCACCGACTCAATTTCCACTGCTTTTTAGGATTGTATCATTTGCAGACTTACAACTGCATTTGGGAAATCAAAAAGTCTCACAAAAGAATTAAATTTCATGCCATGGAATATTAAACCAATATTGACTTTAGTTCACCAACTATTGACCTTACTTCAAATTACCGTATGCTTTGCTTCTCCCCACCTTCCCCTGTGCTTTAAAGAATCTAGGGAATATTATGCCCCCAGGCGCAATACACATGCTCTAAGGCTTTTGCAAGTGATATTTAGTTAGTTGCTGAGAATGGATTCCTTGAGGAACTGAACAATGGACTTTTTTTGTCAGCAGGTGAAGCAAGTGGGGGAACGCTATAAAAAAATTATTTCCTGAGGGTTGTGCTCCAGGAATATTTCCTCCTGGTTCGTAGAAATGCACTGTCACGAGGATATGGTTGCTTTGGAATGTTTCCCCATTTACTTCGCCAGAGGGTTGATTCCGAGCCGTTTTCCGCTCGGTCACGTGACAATCACGTGAGAGAGGGTATGAGAATGCCACATCGGCAGTTGATGAGTCAACGACCAAAGCCGAGGAAACATTTATTTCTCGGCATCCGGTCTTCCGATCGCGACGATTCACGGGCTCGCTCCCGATAAGACCAGGCGGAGTAGCGTAAACGGGTGTTGACAGATTGCATTCGGTGCAGGGATGGGATCGGTGACGGGTGAATGCGGGTTAGCAACAGAACAAACGAACGTATGCAGTCCGAGCCGAGCCCGTATAGATTTTTTAATTGCGTCTTTGGGAAGGAACGTGGAATGGAGTGTTGTGTGTGCATAGCCTGGGGGGTAAAGACGACTTACGCCGGTTTTTTTTTTTTTTCAAGGCCATTCCATAGAAGAGAGAGAGGAGGGGGAGACTCGAGTGTGCCTTCACCCGTGTGTCGAGACCCCGGCATGTTATCCGCGTTCCACGTCCTCGTGTTCTTGTGTGCGGCGGGACACTGGGTGAAAGGTCACCACGCCCCTACCAGTCCCTTGGAGCTGGAAGGGGAATGGGTGGATCTCACCCATTACCTCGATGACGAAACGTTGAGTTGGCCCGGCTCCCTGCCTTTCAAGCTGGAAGTCTCCGTTACCGGTGTTCAACGCAATGGCTACTGGTCTGTCCGAAAAGCATCATCGTTTCCCATCGCGACAGTGTTGTCCGATTGCTGCCACGGAAGTATTTTACGCTTTTTAAATTAAGAGCCATCATAATGTGCTTAATTGCTTCATAAATTACGTTTCCCTCTACGTTCCTAGCTTAAAAAGGAAAGATTAATGCGACAGCGAAGTTTCTCCGCAGCACGCTTCTCTGCGCGGTTTATCCCTTCGATCTGAGTTACGACCCGAGCTCATAAAAATATGGTCCTGTACGAATGCTAACTTAGTAATATTTCATGTTCAACTGGAGTAGTAACGATTCGATATAAATAAATGCAGGATTTCAAACAATCGATCGATTGATTTCATGCTGTTCGTATGGGGGTTCACTGTTCGTGCAAGTCAAGACTGAAACACGGGAAAACTCATGCTTTCGTTGGCATTTCGCTGCCACCCGCCGAACTCGGAGAGGAATAAAGGCAAAACGGCTCGCAGAAGATAGTCGAAGCAGGCATGCAAGGACGTTGGACGGAGGGAACATCACCTACTCAACCCTCACTTAAGTGTAATTTCGCTGGGGGAGAGTGAAGGGAGGGGGAGAGGGGGGAGGAGCCGCCCCAGCCTCACTAAATTGGAAGGCCTTAGCATAGGAAGAAATCGTGAGATGTTACTTTCCCTTTCAACGCGATTGAATGTCGAGCTTGGAGCACGTGTTCGAAGCGATCACTCCTCGACTCGTCGAGGGAACAGTCGATCTCGGCCCCACGAGAGTGTCAAGGCCCGGCGCTCCAGACTCGAGTCGTCGAAACACTTCTAAATGGGGTTCATTACCGCTTCGAAAAAAAAGAGCACCTCTCTAAATGAGACTAGCTCTCGGCTCGTCTCGACGATGTGCCACTCCTACCGTGAAATCTCCCGTACCATCGCGTCCTAATCGCGTGCCGCGACTCGGACGAGAGTCCGATGCCCGAAGCGCGAGAGAATCCCTTTGCAGTCCTGATCATCCTGCCGTGGGCGTCCCCGAGCACGAGGGGCGAGAACAAATAAGAGGTCATATCCTCGTTTTTTTTTTTTGGATCGAGTTCGATTCCATTCCCACCGACAAGAAAATTTTAACAATGCTTTGTCTCGTTCCCGAGTCTTTGTATGTCATTTCTCGCACGTTTCGCCTGCGGGATAAGGAGCAAGGCTCGCTCACACTATTACACGTTTTCTGCCGAACATAATTTTTAGCATGCAAAGTATAAAAATATCACCGTTCATGCACTCGACAGCCAACGTCTTAATATTGCCACGTGCTCGGACCGTGGCTCTTGTGGTATGTGGTATAAACGTTCTTATGAGTCTTGCCTTGTTTTGGTTGCGACTAGTTTGCGGAACGCACGTCCACTTGTCCTCAGCCCTGTCCATCTCGCATTTTTAGATATACAGGGCAAAGGCTGGAAAGGTATCATAGAAATGATGGAATCATCATTTCGAAAACGTCCTATGAAAGTAGTTGAACTTATTCCTGAAGTACTTGAGTTAAAAGAGTAATTTTATTGCTTTCTCTGCGATAAAAAAAAGACTTAAAATTATGATTAAAAGGGCACGGACAGCGTTGGAATTGCTGTTACCAAAAGTCACCAGTGAAACCACGGTCTCTGCATTCCATCGACTCGACCTCGAGCTGTTTTTTGCTCCGTAAAATGTCCGGATTCGGAGCCGCTTTCCCCTCGATGACGTCTTTCCCCTCTTCTCCCATCAGGGTGGAATCCTTCGAGTTCTGCTCGGCGGAACACATCGGGACGCACGTGGACGCTCCCGTCCACTTCGCCGAGGGAGCCAACACCGTCGAGCAGATCCCGCTCGAGAATCTCATCGCGCCCGGTGAGGCTTTTCGAATCGTTTTGGTCGGTGGGGGGAGGGGGGAGGGGGGAGGGGGGTGGGGCGAAGATGAGACGAGGGGGTGTCTGCCGAGAGGTGCTCGCAGGACTTTGGAATCCTTGATTTTACCATCTCTGCTCCTGCAAGGTAGATTTGGAAACCCGAAGATTGTCATCGACAGCTGTATTTGTCATGACGATCCGTGGATGGGTTTTCTCAAATTTGTCTCAGCTCGATTAAATATAAAGGTAAAAACGCGTGGAAGTTTTGCCCGTTTGCCTACGGAGACGATGCGTGAAAGGAAGAGCAAGGGCGGACCCAGAAAGAAAGGGGCGGATGACAAAAGAGCATGTCGATTAGAGAAATAATCCCCTAATCCTCTTAACCTGGCTTAGATTTCCACTGAAGCCGTGCGTAGGGCGGCGGACGAATGCAACGAGCACGGGACGAGATGGAACTTGCAATATCTCTCGACTTGGCGCGCTTTCGCTTCCCAAAGTCACGTCCAGGTTTCTGAGAATCTTCATTGACGTTTGTGCATGGGGAACACTTCCTTACGTGAAACGTATCTCACACGAAGCATCTGAAGTATTGCGAAATGGGCTTCCGGCTTTCTCCAGCTTGGGGACAGGTCGTATTTTCCTCATTTTCGCTCCTTTCGAGGGCAGGTGCGGTTCGAGACCCGTGTTCTGTTATTTTACTCATCAAGTGTGGTTTCTCATTACAAAGTGTATAGCTGTTGACTGCCTAGAATACGTTTGAGGTTTCGATGAAATACGGTCCCAGATCTCTTCGTCGACATTTTACGTCATGCGGAATCAAAGGTGTCGATCTCAAACCATGGATTGTAGGAATCCTCACGTTCTCTCGGACCATTTCTCGAAACGGAGTCACAGGCCTCGTGCAGCTTCCGCCATGGAAATATCGATGAGGAGATTCCTCGATCCGCACTTTCAATCCAAAGGCAAAAGTGCGAGACTTGTGCTAATTTCTCGCCAAAACGCAAGACGGAAAGAGCTGAAAGTATCTTATTAGTTGTAAGTTTACTCCTACTGCTTTCACATCGTTCTTCCGGTTCCAGAGGTACCATCGAACTACGAACTTCGTAGCACTGCAGGGCGCGGACTGGGAGCCCATCGCTCTAATTTAAATTATCCTCGAAAATGCGATGAGAACGTCTCTCGAAAGGCTGCACGAGGATAGGGAACTAGGATCGAAATGGACTTATTTTAATTCACACGAGGATGCGAAACGTGTACTGTAGAACATCGGGTCGGACCGTGCAAGACCCTTGACGAAACGAATACGTCTCCTTGGGGGCAGGGGTGGTGATCGACGTGTCGAAGAAGGTGGAGGCTGGAAATAAAGATTACGGAGTGACGCGGGAGGACTTGGAGGCCTGGGAACGGGTGAACGGGCAGCTGCCGAAAGGGGCCGTCGTCATCATGCAGTCCGACTGGAGTCGGAGGTGGCCGGATCGACAGGCGTATTACGGGAGCAATACGCCGCTCGATAACAAGACGTTTCACTTCCCCGGGTGGAGTCCGGAGGCGGCGACCTGGTTGGTCGAGGAGAGGGCCGTGGCGGGCGTGGGCGTGGACACGGCGAGCGTGGACCGGGGTCAGGAGACTTCCTTCAAGACTCATACCATCTTGGCTCCGAAAAACATCTACGGGATCGAGAACTTGAATAATCTTCATCGGCTTCCTCCCAGGGGTATGTCGTGGATCCATGGTCCATCCTGTTTCCGCTTGGATTATATAGTGGACGCTTTGGTATTTTTTTATTATAGAAATTTTCATTGTTTTCAAGCTTTTCAATCTCATTTTCGAGTCGTGCAATCTCATTTTAAATTTGCAGAACCGATGCGGTTCAAAGTAATTTTACTAAATGCAGGAGTAAGTAAACGTTATTGTACGCCGTTGACCTTGCTATATACAATCTATGAACCTTGCAACTTTGTTTCTTATGACGGTAAGGGCAGTGAATATGAATACGTTTGCCTCAAGTCTCTGAAAAGAATCGAATTTTTTTCTCCGTGCCGAATTGTGCTGACCACGCACGAAAGAATCAGGCTGTGCCTCTGACAGTGCACTTGATAATTTCACCCCATGGATCTTGTCCTTAGTATTGCTATTGCCAGCGTATATGTCTCAAAGTTATAATTTCTTTTGCAGAGGTAAGTAATTTAACGCGTCAGGATGACCTCAATTGTGGATGAAGCAATTATCCTTTAACGTGCTGTGACCGCGTATGCGCGTTTTTCATATTTAACCGTTTAGCACTGTTATCGCGAGTAGGCGATTGCTCTGAGTTGCCCGTGAGCGTACAGAGCTCTGCAAATTTTTTACTACGGAAGTCCATTTTCAGCAAAATGACTCAGTCTGAGGGGCAGGGTCTTTATATCTAATGCAGTACAGTACCTAAAAGGTTTAAAGAAAGCGTATTTCTGTAATTAAAATATAGGGCGTCGAAGTCTTGCACTAAATGGAGAATAGTGATGCGCGTAGCAAATTTACGCTTTCTATGTTATTTCCACTTCACTACTTGGCGTCAGCGGCATATCCTCTGCAGCACTCTCACTTTATGAGCCTCTTTTTCGTGGGGATTAAGGGTGACATACACCGAATCCGTTTAAGCTAAACTAATCTGGTCTCACAATGGTTCCCAATGGGAATCTGTTTAACCGAAATAAACTTATTCCCATAGACGCCCATTATGAAAACGAATCAGTTTTAAGTTAAACGGATCTGGTGCATGTCACCCTAAACGTCGCTTCATTGTAAGGTTTCCTGGTCCTTGTGGCACCGTTGAAACTGGTGGGTGGAAGCGGCGGGCCAGCCAGGATCTTCGCCTTCATCCCCCACAAAGGCTCCAAAGGCGGATCTTCCCGATTTCCCGTCCACGCCGACCACAGCGACGACGACGACGACGACGACGGCGGAGGAGAGAAGGCGGGGAAGTCCTTCCCCAGCGTTTCTTTGCTGAAGGCGGCTCCGGGAGACTGGTTGGATCTGTCGCATGGGCTGAGCGAAAGCATGCCCTTGTGGCCCACCACCAGGTCCTTTAACGTCTCCGTTATTCATCGGGGCCGAACTCCTGAAGGATACTGGTGAGATAGAATTTATCACTTAAAATGCCATTAATCCGCTAAAACAGATTTATTTAGCTTAAATGCGCTATGAGCATTTGTGGGTTCAAGTAATTCATACTTTTAATAACGTTGCATACATTTATTCATTCTATACGCATTCAACAGCAAACTGTATAATACAGGAAGCAAAATAGAGCGGCTTCAGTTGCATTTTCCCGGCAGACTTCATCGTGATGCAATGGGACTTTTTCCTGTCTTCTTCCAAATACGTTCATGGGTTAATTTCGTCTCCGACCTACTCCTTTTGTCGTGTAATTTCTTGCAATGTCTTTTATTTTTTTTTATAGGTTAGAGCATTCGAACTTATGCATGGGAGAACATTCAGGAACCCATATGGATTCCCCGGCTCACTTCGCGGAGGGCAAATGGAGGACGAACGAGATACCAATGAACCACCTCCTGGCAGTCCGTAAGCCCCTCAAACCCTGCACTCCTAATGCTGAACGCTGTTTTTTTTTTTTTTAACCATTTGGTTAAACGGAGCTTTTAGATCGCTAGACGTAACTCATACTTCATACTTCTTGACGGTGGTTTTTTAAGTTTACCGATTAAATTTCATGCTAACGATTCCGTGAAATCTTCAAGAAAAGCGTCTAGAACAAATCTTTGTGCTCCTTTAAAAATATATATAAATAAAAAAGAGAATACCCATATTGGAAAATAATGGCTTTGAATGACAGCGGGAGTGAAGCTGGACTTTCGAGATGAGGCGAAGGTGCTAGACTGGGAATTGAAGAAGAAGGACGTACAGGAGTGGGAGAGCAGAGAGGGGAAAATTCCCATCGGCTCTCTTGTCCTCCTTCAAACAGGATGGGAGGCATTCTGGAATGATCGTAAGAAATACTTCGGCCTCCCCGATTCCTTCCCGAGCCAGAAACGTCCCGCTCCCGACGACGTCGACGAATTTCACTTTCCAGGTCTGTCGTTCGTCTCTCGTGCGCAGATCTGTTTTGCTTAAGACTCTGACGCAGACCTGAGCACATCACATTGTTGGCAGGTTTTTCTCCGGAGGCGACGGAGTTTCTGGTTCTGGAGCGGAAGGTGGTGGGTTTGGGGACCGATGCGGTCTCCATCGACAGGGGACAGTCGAAGGACAAAGGGGCTCATCGGATCCTGAACGGGAACAATTCCTACGGCCTAGAGAACCTAAAGAACCTTGACAAGGTTCCCACGAGGGACTTCACAGCCTTTGTCCTACCCCTCAACATCCGCGGAGGATCGGGTTCTCCCGTACGGGTGTTCGCCCTTACAAAACCGTTGCACGTTTATAGCATTGCTCATTGCGTCACTGCTCCGTCCATCTTTTTCGTTCTTCCCCTCGTGTTTTGGTCGTTTATCAGTTTGCATCTTTTATGACGAGATTAAAAGGTTTTGACGGTTGTGACTAAGATTTTGGATCGATATTGCCATATTTTTGTTGGTGCTACCTGCTTTCCATGCCGAGAAATAAAGACTGTCCCTCCCCAACCCCGGAGACATATTCATGTTCTCATGCGCTTTTGTATTTTTTGTAGTTTCTCATTTAGTATATACGTTACTTACTCGAGTAACAGTCGTGTTTGCGCAACTCTTGGAATGTGTAACCTTGGAATCTTCGAGTGTTCTATCGTAACATAAAATGAGCGTTGGCATGACGTTCAAGTACCCTTTTTGGAAGCGCTCAAAGTATCGATAAGTGGGGGTCGAGCGTAATAATAGCATTTTACTTCGTCAAACTTCATATAGACTTCTAACGCCGCCGTGACATTTAACACGTATGTTGGAATAACATTGAAATGAGGCTGTGGGCGGGTGTACGTTGGAATGTCGAAAGCAGAAATGCAGAAAGGTATTAATGTCGAAGGGCAAGAATGTAGATGTCCTTAAATGTCGCTTTTTATGCTTAATGTCGAATAGAATGGAGCCAGAATTCTAAAACATCGACGGAGAGGGAATGTCGAAAGATGTGATATTTACTAGATTGATCATCCTGTGGGAGTGTGAAAACATGACTCGGTTCGAAGCACTCCACCCCGAAGTACTTATCGCGGAGCATATCGTTCAACTGGCTGCGGATATAACTGGAAAGTCATGAGGTCACTTCCGTCTTCTGTCCTCGCTGGTTGATCTCTCTCGGGAAGCCCTATCTAGCAACTAGGTGATGTCCTTGCAGGTAATTTAACTCTTTAAATGCGACCGTGGATCCATCAATTAAACCATTCCATGGGGTTCAATGTAAATGCCCTGTGTCACGCGTGCATACTTTGCGTGTACATCATCTGGCTTCGGCACTCGATTCTCTCCTTCTCCGACCTTGGTCTACAATGAACTCAACTCTGATATTTGTCGGGTCTCAGAGAGGCAAGAAAATGCTTGTCCTTCACGGATATCTCTTCGAGAGAGGGAGACGCCAGCGAGGGAAAAATTTTACTGGAGATGTGAGGACCGCTCTTTCTAAGTTCGTGCCATCACACAAGGGGGACAGCTGATAAAGGAACCTTCCAGTCATCATCATGAACAGGTTCTTTGTCAATCGGCTGTTGTGATAGCGAACTTTCGATTTTTCCTAAAAGACATCCTCCACTGGAGTGAGATTTTAAATGGTCGCCCGCAACTATGGTCAAATTTGAAAATAATTATTTTGACCTTGAATGCTTTCCTCAAATCCACGATACTCCGGAAAATGATGATTTCAAGTGAGTGTGTTTCGACATTTCTTTCGACATTTACTCGATCGGTCTTTTTTCCTATTGACAGCTGTATTTCTACATAGTCTCCATCGACATTTTTGCCGTCTACTATTTTCTTGTCGACATTTCTTCTTTCGACATTCACCGGCCGCGAGCAAGCAAGATTCCCACAACCTACATGAGATGGCGGCCAAATCTCCAAATTAGTGATGCCGCAGGAAAAAGTCCCCAGTATTTTTTTTAATAAGAGGTCTTTTCCCATAGACGTATTAGGCAACGACATTAGAATTCATCGACTCATTTGTCTTAGGAGGTAGCCCAACCCAAGGAGACTCCGCGAAGTACTGGCCCATAGGATGGATGCTTCAATTTGGGTGTTCGCTCGACTTGCTAAATAAATACGGAGGTGGAGTTCTCCTTTACAAAGGGCCAAAAATCAACTTATTTCGTGCGGTCACATGTGGACAGAACAAAGCCCGCTGTTGTCCGGACTCGATCCCTCACCTCCCGAATTACAGTCGGAAGCATGTACCACTCGATCGCCGAACTCGGTTCGGCAAATAACCTGGATGCATTTCAAGTGTGTTGCCCCAGGGACACGTAGAAGCGAAAACTCCCTCACCGATGTGTGGGGGCTGAGACCTCGCTGGGGTGCAAGTGGAAGAGATCCTCTTCCTTCTCTTTCGAATATCTTCGAGAGACCTTTTGTCTTTTTGAAGAAGGACGTCGACTCGAACCTTTTTCTTCTTCATAGGTGAAATTGTTTTTCCTGATTCACAGATGATTTCACCGTCATCGTGAAAGTTATGGGTATACTGACGGCAGGAAATGCGGTGAACACATGCAGTAACGCCCATTTTGTTTCGACTTTTTTCTCTCTCTCGGTGGTTGCCACCTTCCGGTGCGTCACGCGGACGCTCTCTCTCCTTGCTACGACTGAGGCAAAAAACGACTGTGGCAATGTTGCAAGATCATGTGGCCATCAACCGACGGTCTTTGTGAAAAGAACAACTTGATTGATAAAAAAAAACTTTTGGTAATGGAATAGCCTTTACTTGAATACGATTCTGTACGCTAGATATCTGTGCATAGGTACAGAGACTTGTAGGTGTATAGTTCCTGCCTCTTAATCGTAGAGGTGGCTGTCTGGAAAGGGGATTACAGAGATGCCCAATTATTCTTTATTCTATGTTGTCTGAGAAACCGGAAAGATTTTTGCTTTTAGATTCCCGTATCCAGCATATTGAACAATTGAACAGCTTCACAATGTCATGAGAACCGTGCGAAGCATTCATAAAAGATAGAACAGTTTTTTTAATAGCATGAAAGAGGCTCCTGCATGACCAGCCATGATGACTGCCACGGTTTGCTTCGATTTTGAAATTGTAATCCGTAGTAAGGTCATCGTTCTTCCGGTGACGATTCCAATCTTCATGAAAAAGCCGCGAACGGCATTAAAAAGGGGTTGCCAGCGTCAATTCGCACGCTCAAAAATAAATTTAAAAAATCATACTCCGTCTGCATTTAGGTTGTTGGCAAACCCAGCTACATACTTTAATATATTTCGTTCTGACAGGCACGAAGGCCTTCTCAGTATTTTCTCCAGCATAAAACAAGCGTATGCAGCCATTCCAGCCATTACCTCTGGTCCAAGTTGCCACACAAGTTAGACCCAAGAACCTCATTGCACGCGATTGAAGGCTTCTTGACAGTTTTCCATTCAACAGGCACTCAAGTTAATTCGTAAGATATAATATATATTTCGTAAGATATATTCGTAGGATATACGATCGGACGCATTCGCTCATTTCACATCGAAAGGGAAAAGGGCTGCTATTCGGATTTAAACCATCAATTTCTTGTCAATTTTCGTGAAACCAACCAACACATGTTGGATATTAAATCCTTTAATTTCCTCTCGAAACCATGACCCTCAAACGAATAGACTAATGTAACGTGAATTACATCTAGTTGTGCTAAATCTCGCTCGCAGTCATGCGTCAACTGCGTAAATTTTATTCTTTTTAAAATTCGCAGTAAGGGCTCACACAGATACATGCTTTTAGATTGTAAGGTAATTTCGGGGAATATGGCCACTTCTCAAAAAACCAATCGAGCTTTTCGAGGTACGTGTGAAATATGCTGGAACATGCTGAGTACCTTGAAATATAACAAAGGAGGCTAAGCAGTAGAAAAAGAAACACATTAACTGCATGGAAGACGAGCAAAGAAGACAACAACCCGACTCAAGGATCTGTTGTGAAAAGCAGGATTTCAACGTTATTGGCTTTGAGTAGCATTGCACGTGATTGGGAGGCTGGATCTAGAGACTGTGGGTGCAAGAGGAATGATAAAAAAATGATCAACCGAAGGCCAAAGTGAAAATGCGCTACGAGTGTGTACTAAGAGGTCTTACATTGCTGGGAAAACGTTGCGCAGCTTTTGCATGCATGCAAAATTACTGCAAAAAAAGTCACTGAATGACATTTAAACTTTCTGAAAAGGGATCTTCACCTGCATTCAAATTTCGTGCCACGAAAATTTCTGGAGTACGTCAAGCGGAAGTCCAGAAGGCGATGCATGGCCTCATGCACCACCTCCTCATTGACTGCATATTTAGTTTATATGTCCAGTACATCTATCCAAATACCAGAGGATGTGTATAGGATGATTTTTTTTGTTGCCTGAGGTCCCCCATGAAAGGAAGTTGACACTACCAATATGTCAGTGAAGCACTACCATGAAATGAAGGATGCGTCCATATTGCCCCAAATTGAGATGGTCATATTACCCTATATTGGCTTGCATGACAATATTGAGAACTATGCCCACAAACCGCAAGTGAAGGGGCAAGCACTTTCCTCAAGAACTCTGGAGGGACCATAGAATAACTTTGTACAAATGGTTTCTGTATCCATGCGGCTATTAAGAAATGCTCAAGGCCCTTAAATTGCTCAAGGCCCATTTTATTTTCAGGGCCATGAGTTGTAGAATCACATGCATATGACTTTCCAAACATCGATGTATCCCGAATTCCTGGGAGAACTGGATTAATGAACAGGACTAAACATTTCCATAATTGCATTTATTCTTCGATGGAACTATTTTCTAAATACGCCCAAACTAATTATTCTGATTTCATTGTGATTGGCCATATTCCCCCAAATTACCCTATCTTCTAGTTTTCTTTTGTGGGTTTTGCCTAATTCGGTTTCGAGGAGAAAACCGGCCTCCTTGAAGGAGATTTCGATTCCTAAAGGCCCCATCACACGCTATGATTTTGCTCATATATGATTGCTCCTATGTGAGCTATGAGCTCGTGTAATCGAGGTCTATGAGTGACTCATAGACTCACATGTGAGTGGGATTCCAATTCACAAGGTTTCGAGTCATCCTTGACTTTCTTATGACCTCTCATAGCAAGTAGGCCTCCTGATTGGTTGGTATGGTCAGGTAACATGGCGCTTCCCGTATGACTATCAATTCTCTCGATTTTGTGTTCAACGAGTGTCAGTGTTTCCATGAAGGTATCAATATTCATCCTCAGAAGAGCACGGAAACGATAGGGATCTTCATCCCGTAATTCTCTGAAAATATTGGCTTCGAAACTCTTTTCTCGCCTTCTTGCCAGCCATTTTTGCATCCACACACGTCAGTCACGTTTTCGACATCGCTGACATGCTCTAACCCTCCTCAATAAAGTCCCAACCAGTAACAAAATTACTCCAGCAGCCAAAATTTCACCCTGAAAGCTCACAAGGTCTTCTCATAGCGTCTAATCACTCGCTCGTAGCAAGTTCACTCATATGGGAGCAGTCATATATGACCAAAATCATAGCGTGTGATGGCGCCTTAAGATGTTTGTTGGCGGCGACCAGCTCCTGGCATTCGCCAGGGTCGAGACGCAAGCCCGAAAGAATCGAGGGTTTGACGACGTTTCATCCAGTTTCAATGTCAACTGCTGTCATGTCAAAGACTGCTGCAGCAAAAAAAAATTCCAAATACGAAACGGGACTTGGCTGCCGATAGCTAAATTCTGAACGACGAAGATGCGCCTGGCAACGCGTCTCGTGCGAGTCCGGTAACTCTAGAACGGGGGATGGAAATGGCGCAGACACTGAGACACTATCGTAGTCCACGCTTGTACACACTTGTAGTACACACACTTGCGCCATGTCTTTTCTGCCTCTTTCTAGATAAAAAAAAAAAGAGCTTACCGGGAACCGCTTCGAGTCGGTTAAAAAAGATGTAGAAGGCAGACAGGACAGGTGTATACAAGAACAAAGAGGGACTTTCAAGGGGGATGATCTTTTTTTTTTGTCCGAGTCATTCGATATTGAAGTTAAGAGACACGAGCTAGGACAGATGATACCGAATGAAAAATAATACAGAGCAGTGGCAAGAAGAATAAACTTGTATTGAATAATTTCTCTTGATATTTTTCCTGAGAGCGGCGAAAGTCCATGAGATACCCAAGAATTAGACATTCACAGACAACTGCCCCCCTCCCAAAAAAAATAATAATAAATAAAATAATAAATAAAATAATAAATAAAATAAATAACATAAATAAAATAAATAACATAAATAAAATAAGTAACATAAATAAAATAAATAACATAAATAAAATAAATAACATAAATAAAATAAATAACATAAAATAAAATCCTGATCGCAGGCACTGCGGAAAAACCACAGATGTAATCTTAACTAACTTAATCTGCAGTTAATAGCTGAATCTGGCAACACTGAACCGAGAGGTAGGCGGCAGAGTAGATGGGGTATAGGGGTGGAATGCCTGGCCGAACGCGCAAGCCCAGCTGCTTCCAGACAAGAAAAATGAATCTGGCTTGAATCAGTCGACGTTGTCTTTCCTTCGTGTACGGATGTCCGAGAACGTGATGTCGCCTCTGTTTCGTCTCCTCGTGTCTCTATGTGCTGTCGGGCGTGGGATCAGATGTTCCAGTCCGTTGGAAGCGGAGGGAGAATGGGTGGATCTGACCCACGACCTCGAGGAGGCGACGCTCGTCTGGCCCAGCACGCAACCGTTCAAGCTCGATCTCGCCTATACCGGATTCCAAAAAAATGGCGTATGGTCCGTGCTAAACCGTTTTGCATCGAATCTGTCTCATCTTGCTTCCAATAGTCCAAGTGTCCTCTGCTTTCTTACGCAAATCAAAAAGGAATCAGAAGCGGCAACGAGGCCGAATGTGAGAGAGACAGGAAAGCAGTCCTTCCAATTTCTCATTGGCACGGTCATGCCTGGGAAAGAGGGCTTCCAACGTCTCTTTGGCATGGTCATGCCTCAATCTCAATTCAGGCTATAGGGGCATGAGCTACGTGAGCGGTATCGTGGCATGAGGCACGTATGTCCCCGTTTTTGGTATCCCGTCTTGGTAGACCGACTGGCGGTTATTTTTAATGGAAGTGAAAAAATATGCAATTTCTGACTCCAGAATTAGTGAGACGCATGACAGCCCTCCCTAAGATTCGCGAAGTCTCACGACCGTTGATGTAAATTTTACTTGTACAATATCTGGTAGATTTGCAGCTGTAAACTCCACAATGTCGAAGTCCATAGTATTATTCGAGTAGGGGAATGGACCAACACTGTTCGGGAGAGAATAGAGACAGGTCTCAAAGCGTATAAAAAACTTGTTCCCCCACCGCCCCTGGGCCAGGGTTCGTCGCGTTCTACATGGTGTGTATAGCCTCTCTAGTGCCTGTCAGCCAGGGCCGGCCTTAGGCATGTGCCACATGTGCCCCCGCACAGGGCGCAAATTTACCAGGGACGCCAAACGTGTCAGAATGAATGAAGCAATATTAGATGCCACCCTTAGTTTTACTTCAAAAACTGGAAATGACTTCCGTTTTGGCGTCTTTTCGGACGATAGGGATTGATCCTTCTCCCTTCGGGGGGAGGGGGGACGTCAGCGTAGTCTCTTTGCACAGGGCGCCGAATTAGCTAGGTCCTGCTGTCAACGGTCTGGTGCATATCATGGATACCTCTGAGAAGGGGGCTCATGAGGAACTATTGGAAAGTTGTTTGAGTTTACTTTTAAACGATCCGGAACGCTTTTCTCTTCTTTTTTTTTATCTTGCACGAGGCATCTAAAAAATCGTGGAATCGAAGATACCACGTTTTTGTCGTTAAAATCCAGTCAGAAGTAGCGTTCCTTCATTTTCCACAACTCTACGTCACTTTCCTTGCAATTAAAATAAGTCCGCCCGTTTCCTCAGGTCATTTAAAAGTGTTTTTGCACGCTGGTTGAGAGTGGTAACCCGACGTTTTCATTGGATGTCCCTTCGTCTGGGATCCTGCGGGTTGCGGGATGTGCGAGACAATGCGGCAAATACCCATTGCATATTTGGCAAATATACTCCACTCAACGGTCCACATATGATTATTGGGAGTGAACATGGGACAACCGTGTCACAGGTCACTGACGGCGAAGGCGAAGGGCAGGAACCCAGTGCGCATGCGCCACCTGTTGAGCCCACCCACCGTCTTCTCCTCCAGGTCGAGGGATATCCAATGAAGTTGGGTTAACTTAACTTGATAATCTACTGTCACACACATGGTAGGAGAGGTGAGTGGGTCATCCTATCTTCTCCTGGTAAAAGTACCTTTGCTTTCCTGTAAGGCTGTCCTCTTGAAACAGGAACAGTCGCCCTCAGATAATTGGAATGAAAAAAAAAACGAAAGGAAAAGCAACTTGCTACTATAGTTTTCAATCAGTGGCTGTATGATTTTGTTACTTGTAAAAACAGTGCTCAGTGGTGAACCATTCTGGTTCTCCCACTCCGAGAGTTAGCTTTATATTGCTCTTTTCGCTTTGGTTTCTCCAGTTGAACCGAGTGCCTACAGACCACTTTCACTTGTACAGCATCTTCTGGTCGTGTTGCGCTCAACAAGTTAAAGTAAATGCTCTTTTACAGACATGATGGTAACGACGTTCACTGGAGTCCTTTTTCCCAATCCTATCAGGATCGAAGGTTTTGACTTCTGCGCATCGGAGCACACTGGGACGCACGTGGACGCTCCCTCACAGTTTTTCATGGGTGGAACCACTGTCGGGCAACTTCCTCTTAAGAGCCTCATCGCACCTGGTAAGAGGAGAGACAATGGAATCTATCTCTTTGCAATGATAACCAATTATTCAAAACTGGGAATCCGTAGAGGTGATCCCAAAAATGTACTGTAACCGAGAATCCAGCCGATTGTCTCAGTCCGTTTTATCATATACCATACGTGGCCAAATAATAAACTTTTTTCCCGACTTGCGACAGGAGTGGTGATAGACGTGTCGAGGAAGGTGGAGACTGGAAATAAAGATTATGCAGTGACGCGCGAGGACGTGGAGGAATGGGAACGGGAACATGGACCACTCCCGAAAGGCGCCATCCTCATCATGCATTCCAAATGGGGCCAGAAATGGCCTGACCTCACGGCCTATTTCGGTAGCAGCACTCCACTCAATAACAAGACCTTCCATTTCCCCGGCTGGAGTCTAGAAGCGGCGGACTGGTTGAAGAAGAATCGGGCCATCGCGGCCATTGGCGTGGACACGATGAGCGTTGATGTGGGTCAAGATACTTCCTTCAAAACCCATGCTAACCTTTACTCAGCGAATATATATGGGATCGAGAACCTGGCTAACGTTCATCGACTCCCTCCCAAAGGTATTGAAGAAAACAAGTCAATTCAAATTTCCCTAGAGGACCTAAAATTTTTGTCGAATTGAGAAATTTTTCCTTTGCTTCTCTGTGTGTACACACTGTAAAAAAATATAGGTTTTCTAACCTAGAGTAAACACGCTCAACAAGGAACCCTTATCCACCGGATACGTGTTTGTGAATGTAGGGTACACGAATGCTGGCGTAATGCACGATTCGCTTTCCATCCTGTGAATTGGTGCTGGAAATGATTAATCTGGCTGAGAAATCGTGGAATTGAATTCCGATTCGAATCAAGCATATCTGAAATATTGCCGGTTTAGGCCTGTGTTTAGTTCGTACTTCTGTTGTACCGATTGCTCGATGCAGGCCACAGTACAAACTACAGCCCGTTGTCGGACAACATAACTGCCCGCAGCAACAAAATTCAACATTCAAAAATTCAACAAATGCAGTTCTGCAACTTCTGTATTGCTTGTTCCGCTGCAACCTCAGAAATAAGAATGATTCCTATTCAATCCAACTTGTTGCATCCAGTTGCACCCAGTGTTGCATCTAGTGTTCCTCAATTTTCTTGATGCATTGCTAGGTTGCAGTCCAGCAACTGCATTCATTGAATAGAATTTTGCAGTACAGCATGCAGTTACAGGGTCCAGTAAGCAACACAGCGCGAGTATAAACTTGCCCAAAACAGCTTCATTGGACTTGGTACTCTAATGTTAGGATGGGAAAATTTCCTAATCGGCACAACATGTAAGTAGTGGGCCTTCAGTTGTGACCCGGGTCATGTCATAATCCATGGAAAGCTTTGTACAACCGAGACTTGCGTCGTGACCTGGGTCGTAACTGAGTGCACCCCTTCATGCCTTGAGTTAATCTTGCATTCGTTCCAACTGTTAAAAATTTACTGCGTACTAGATTATCACCTTCCTGTTATTTACCATGAAATTTCGTCAAGGATTCCTGGTTCTCGTGGCGCCATTGAAACTGGTGAACGGGAGCGGTGGCCCAGCCCGGGTCTTCGCTTTCGTCCCCCATCAAGACTCCAAAGCGTCTTCCCGATCCGTTGGGAGTGACGAGAAAGGGAAGACGAAAACGACTTTGACTAGCGTCTCCTTCTTGAAGGTGCCCCCTGAAGACTGGGTGGATCTGTCGCACGGACTAAGCGAAGCTATGCCTTTGTGGCCCAGCAGCAGGCCCTTGAACTTCTCGGTTATCCATCGGGGCCGTACTCCTGAAGGATACTGGTTAGAGCAATTTCATAATTTCTAGATATTTAGTGAAAAGTTTAAAATGACAGCGACTTCTTTTGCGTTTCGTAACTGTGCTTCATCTAAGTTTTATGTGTTGTTGCGAATGATTCGGAGAAAAACTTTTCTGTAAATGTTCATGATGCATCTTCCGTTATATCTAAAGCTGCTATTGGTCAAAAATCCAGGTTGGAGTACTCGAACTTTTGCGTGGCAGAACATTCAGGTACCCACATGGATTCCCCATCTCACTTCGCCGAGGGTAAATGGAAGACGCACGAGATACCCATCAATCATCTCCTAGCTGTCCGTAAGCCCCTCAAACCATACAGTCTTCATACTGCTCATCCATCCAACCATTTGTTTGAAAGGACTCTAATTTCTAATCGTAGTTCATAATTATGGTCAGAAGTCGTATTCTCTGTATAAATTCCAGGCAACTTATTGTATGTGTGAGATCTTTAATCCATGGAAGAATAGTGTTCAGTAAAAGATACTATGTGCTAGATCTTTCTGTACTACTTTTTTATATGAAAAAAGAGATGTGAATGACTTCATGTGATATTTATGACATTAAATAACACAGCTGGGGTGAAGCTGGACTTTCGTGAAGAAGCAAGAAGGAACCCAGACTGGGAATTGAAGAAGAAGGATGTGGAGGAGTGGGAAAAGAAGGAGGGGAGGATTCCAACAGGCTCACTCGTCTTACTTCAAACCGGATGGGAGGCGTTCTGGAATGATCCTAAGGAATTCTTCGGCCTCCCCAATTCCTTCCCAAGCAAGAAACGTCCCACTACCGAGGATGCCTCCCAGTTTCACTTTCCGGGTCTGTATTCACCTCTTACGGGGAAATATCTGAAGACTTTATTTCAAGAACATGTTCCCATTTTTCACCCTGGAGCCCTTCATTGCCCCTTGAAATTCATCTTGCGATTAAATGTCTCATTGATGAATCTATCGAGCAGCGAAGAACCCTAGGGGCAGGCTTGTGTTTCAAATCATGTTGCGGTAGGGCCCACGTGTCGAAAATAAGCGTACCAGGCACACATACAACATGTGGGAGTAGGCCAATGCGTTTATCCTATAGGCTCAGACTTGATTCTAGGCGTGAAGCTCAGTTTGGCTTCGGAAACGCCAACCCTATCATGCTGACGAAAAGAATGATGATTCTAAGGGCGCTGAAGTAGAGATATAGGCCTACTACCCTGCGCTTATCTATGACTTAGTCTGAGACAGAGTTACAACTGGCCTTTAACTGCAGCATCATTTGGAAGAGACCGCGTTTATTCTTCCGTTTTCTCATCCCTCCCCTCAGCTGTCATGTTATCACTTTAGACATGCCGTTTAATGAGTTTTTGAGCTTGAACACGTGTTACGTGAGAAGGGTAACTAGGTTATTAGTTCATCTTACCTGTGAAACTGGCTTTTCGGTAATTCACTTTCCATACCACTGCTACTGTAGACTAGCATGCCCACTTCGTCGTTTCTAATTTTATTCGCTGCAACTTAATGGGAATGTTTTACGAACTTAAACTCGTGACAATTAGCGATCGAACACATCGTGCTCCGTATAAAGTTTTATATTTATGATAGAATTCCTCCAGTTGAGGAAATCCCACAGAGAAAGAAAAAGAGCTAGGGATCAAATGGTGCCATTTACTAGAAATCGAGTCCTCGTGACTACGCGAATCTCCTTTAAGGGTATAAGTTTTCTGTCATTCGATTTATTTGTTGCAATTTTAATTTCGGCGTTCTTCGCTTTCACCTATGACCTGAAAATTTATGTAGTGACTGAATATATCAGATCGCAGATACAAGGTGTCGACAACATCATAATATATTATTTTACTAATCAATAATAGAATTAACGAACATCATTCCTTTCATAATCATAACGCGAAGGGAAAAAGTGCGAGGGAGGAGGGGGGCCAAGGGAAGTCAGGGACATTGTTCTCATGCATTTCATCCGCTTCTCCGTAAGCTTTCTGTTTTGTGCTGATTGTTTTCGTTCTCTTCTTTTGAAAAGCAGGGGCAAATACCCCCTCAGCTTTCCCCCCTTCCCTCGACGTTACGCTGCTAATTCTTTACATCTTACCTTTGAAAAGGACACTATTTTTTCGCCTCTTCAAGACGATGGATATTTTTCAGAAGTGAAAGTCTATTAATTTATTGTAATTTATTGTGCCCAAATATCCAGTTAGATGTCCTTAGCTTAACCCTTTCGTGCATGGTGTCCACTGTAGTGGACGGCAAAATTTTTGCCGATGATAATGGGTTTTCAGCCATGGTACCCAAAGTTTCGAGGTATAACCTCGAAACTTTTGATGCATGCAGTCAGCTCAAGGACACATAATCTGTTCAGTGTTGCTTTCTAGCGGTGGAACATTGGACTACTGCGGCAAAGTATCTACCTCCTTAAACGTTAAACCAAAAGAGCCACATTTTTGTTTTGCTTTAAAAAATTCATGCACAAAAGGATTATCTGAAAATGGGTGCGGAAAAGATATGCTGACCTATCTATAAAATCAATAGTTCTAATTATTTGGTTTTGTTCCTATGATCCCGTAGTTCAAGTTACTGCATGTTTTTCCCTATCTTATCCAGCACCGTACGCATTTATGCCTCGGGGAGACTTGAAATCCTTAGGACTGATTCATTGAAATCAAAGGAAAGGACAGTGCGCAACATCATTTCTGGTGGTGCATCCACCCAGTGGAAAATATTTGGGAAGCGATTTAAGTACCGAAATGGATCAATGGTGCAAAAGATTCTGACATATCTATGAACGCATTTTGTCGATGCTTCTACGTACACCAGTCGATAGTGTCTACAGTCCCTTTCGTTGAAATTTTGTAACCCTTTCGAACATTTGATTGTAGGGTTCTCCCCGGAGGCGACGGAATTTCTAGTGCGAGAGCGGAAGGTGGTGGGTTTGGGGATCGACACGGCCTCCATCGACAGGGGACAGACGAAGGATTACAAGACTCATCGGATCCTGAACGGAAACAATTCCTACGGCCTGGAAAACCTGAGGAACCTGGACCTTATACCTGTGAAGGACTTCACCGTCTTTGTCTTGCCCCTTAAGATTCGCGGGGGAACAGGTACTCCCGTTCGGGTATTTGTTCTTGAGAAGCCCTTGAACGTCTACAGCTCTGCTCGTTGCGTCTCGCCTGGCATTTTCATGGTTTTTTATTTGTTTGCTTCACTTCGAGTTTTCTTCCATGACTTTTTTTAAATTTAGTACTTTATTTCTTTATTTATTTTTCTTATTTTTGTTCGCATTATTTTTGCTGGGAAATAAATAGCGTCCCAACACACCCATTATGCTTTTTTTTTTAAATAATATTTTTCTTCTCGATTATGTGCCTTGTTACACACAGGGTTAGTGTTTACTTCACACTAATCTCGTCCAGTTTAAACAGTTATTTTTAAATCCGACATTTTCTGTTGGACACCCTGCAGGTATCATCCGCCTAATGAGTCTCTCCGTCAGATTGGAAAAACACCAGCAAGTACTACCCTTCCTCAAGTTGCATCTTGGGACGCTTTAACGTCTTTCAAATTTTCAAACCCTTTTGCGATGTCTCTTACCTCATGCCTCTTACCTCATTCTTTTCCTGTGCTGGGATTATGTGTTCGACGTGATCCTCTGAGCGATCTCCCATATCACACTGAAATCTATTTTCTCATAAGGGGTTAGACGCAGGTTAACTTTAAAATTGTGGTCAGTCTCAATGCAGTTGAAGTTCCACTGTTGTCATTCCATTGCCCCAGTCGCGTCGTGGTTTCAGTAGACCAAGACGACAGGACTGAGCCGAAACTGGGATTTTGGAATCCCTATTCCGGTCATGCATGTCCGAGAGCGAGTCACTACTCCAACGATGTCATGTTCGCACCTCTTACCATGGAAGCTTTGGGAATGGGCTGTCCAGCAAGCACCAACTCTCAGAATGTGCTCTTCCCTCCCCCCTCGCGTAAATTTTGCCTGAGCAATGGTAGCTAGATAGATGGAAGTTGGAAACGTGTCACGGGCCAAAGTTTCCGTTATTGTCGAAGAACTAAAGTCTCAATACGGATTTCCGAAGCTCCCGTCGACGATAGCGGAACCATGAACATGACTATAACCAGGACGACAACTGAACCTCAACAGGACCGCGACTGAACGCAAGAAGCTGAAATGAACCACAGCCTCCGCGGTCAGACGTAATCCTCTTCACTGGCAAGTGTGATGGAAGCCTCTCACCAGCCTATTAAGGTCCCTAATTCAGCCGTTCTTTTTCCATCTGACCAGAATTGCTTGGAGTCTTCTTGGATCGGGGTACCTCCTCAGGCGAATGAATTGATGAAGTTCGATGCTCTTAAGTTGTCTGTGGGAAGAGATCTGGTAGCCTAAAGAAAGTACTGGGAACTCATTCCAGTGGCATCACGGAGTGGCTTGCTGCATTGGCGATTTATACGCCATTTTGCTTCGACTGCGGTAGTCTTGTGCGAGTTAGAGGGCCAGATAGTTCTCCCCACGGTCCAGTATTTTCCTACAAATAAATATGATTACGTTCTTATGAGCGGCTTCCGCGGGAATAACTCAAAGAATAAATTTTTTTTCTTTTTCTTCTTTCTTTTTTTTTTTTATCCCGTGTGAAATGAAGGGTTACTTACGTCTACAAATCACATCTCGCCAACTGTTCGAGATAGGTAATCGGATGCTTTACAATGCGCCAAGACAGCATGGATCACCAGCATCTCACTTCTCCACTATATGTTTTGTCGTCGAAGCTTTTAACTTTGCCAACCGACTCGAAGGAATTGCAGAACACGATCCTTGAGAATCCCCAGCAAGACACGACAAAACATACCATGAATAAGACTATGTCTAATTTTACAAGGTAAATGATACGTACGTTGCACAATTCAAAGATTTATTTCCTGCAGACTGTTGCTTCCTTGCAAAACTTCTCAGCCCATAAAGAAGCGCCATCTTGATGATCCCATAGAACATTCTAGCCTTGTACTCTTCACGCATGAGTTGTGGTAGAATCCTCCTCCAAAGAGAAGACAAACATGAGTGAGTAGCAAATTCTACCTTGCTATTTTTCCCGCACAAAGTTGATGCGAAATCATTGATAATCGTCCTCTTCCTGACAGTTCCAATCGTAAGGAAGGCTTATATTGATTAAATTCTGGCGGGGTAAAATTCCAAGAGTTCCACTCGCACAACAAAGTGTGGTAGCTTTCCCAGTTCGATGTTAGCAGCAGAATTAGAGGGAACGAATTTAATTTGCGCCAATTCCAGGTGAGGCGCAGACTGCGACAGAGCTTCTTGCAGAGTAGTGAACACATGGAATGCGTTAAATGATGATATAGTAGCAACCTCCATCGTGACTATCTTTAAGAAGAGGCTTGATTCCTTCGTGGACAAAACAAAATAGGAAGCATCGTAACTTTAAGCGACTATAGGCAGTAAGTGGCTATGCTAAAAAAACAAGAAAGAAAGTTTTCATGAGTGCTAGACCTATCATACAATTATCAGAACGCTTGACTCCGAAAAGGGGTCAGACGAGGTCAAGCGTTCTCGGAGTAAAACCGTTTAGAAATTCGTGACGTACTAATTGATACCATCTATTCTGTTATGGCGTTGGAGGCAGAGAAAAACCTCCTAGGACAGAATTATTAAACTCTCCGGGCGAGTCGAAGTTGCCCAACGACCATGGCAGCGTGCGTTCATCTTATGGACGGAACCATGGAGGGAACAGAGATTTGTTATCGCTATATGTTATATTTATAGGCCTATGCTTAGTTCAGAATCATTGTCACATTGCTTGATGTAAATACCCCAGTTTAAGGACATACAGTTAATGCATGTTGCGGTCATTGGGCCGATGCCAGTGATTCATTTCTCAATGCCTGCGACGTATCTGCCGATCCGTAGACTCAAAATCCATTGAAGCCTGCAAATCGAAAGCCCTTCCAAATTAACGTTGCATATATTCGATGCAGAACCTCGCTGAGGTACTCGTGTATGTGAATTCACGTCTAGTCGGTTTCTTTGTTTTGGTTGCTTGGTGGTTAAAGGTTTGGATAGGGACATCAAGAGGCACTTTTGCTCAATAGGATTTTTCAAGACCAAGCGTTCATTTAGGATAGATCTACCCTCTTTTAAAGCCGATTTTTTTTTGTGGAAGCAAATCTTCCTACTGCTTGTTTGACAGCCACATTGCTTTTTTTGTGTTCATGAAGGCATGGAGCCTCTTTTTCAAGCTGTAAGCTGCTGATTGCATCAGTCTGACAGTGCACTCTATCAAATAGGCTTAATTGATCTTTGTACTCTGACAGGAATGAAAAATGATGCAGTCAATTCAGGTTCTCCTTCAAGCAGAACAGTGCAAGTTAGCTTCAGCACCAGCTGCCTCTGAAATCAGGCCTGGTAATAATGTCTCATTCATCATCTTTTATTTTATTTCTGCAGGTGCTGTGTGAAAGCTATTATGCACATTTAGGCATTAGCTTTTCAGGGAAATGGGAAAGCCAAATAGTCTTTCTTGTAGCAGTGATCAAGCTTGCTATCTGTATTCCTGATGGAAGAGCTGAAGTTAAAGCCACAGAGCCACCTGCTAGATGTGAAGATCCATCATAACCTGGAAACAAGAGAATTCCAGCTTTATCTTGAACACTGGGAGAACTTTCGATATGGTGCTGAGGGGGAAGTCTGCTGCTTCTGCCAAGGGTATTATGGCCCAAATTTTGGTGCCACAGTCTGCCCTACCTGCCATTCCTTTTTATTTCCTGCTGACTCAGATGATCCCTCTTTGGAAGTGGGAATGAATGCTGAGAAGTTTGAAGACTCAGACAGTGGGAATGAAGAACCCACTGAGCTCAACCATGTCACTCACAGTAATGCCCCTGAAATGAGGAGTGACCTGGGATATAAGTCTATCATATTCCAGTGTAGGCCTGCAAAGCAGTCAAATAGACCTCTTCTCCAGCCAAACCCTCTTGCCGAAAGGTAAATGGTTTTTGCAATGTGTGCTTTTGTTAGCCTAGCAGTAATTAACTTTTTGCATGTATATGTTGACTTTTTCATTCATAATTTTTTATGCAATCATCCTCTCCTTCATGTAGTCATGCTACCTTTGTGAATAGTGACTCACTGGTGATAGGGTCAAGGTTTTTTCAAAGTTGTGAATTTTCAAATGAAAAATTATTTACTGAATATTCTCAAAATTTAAGTCTGCCTATAAATTATTCTCAAGTGGTTAATTCAACAAAATTTGTTTTAAGTTTCTTGCTAGCACCATTATATTTTTTGTTAAGTAAAACAATGTTGAAAGCAAGACAAATTTGTTTTAAAAATATATATATGTATATTATAATTTTTACTGTATTTTTAAAATATTTTTTCATGTTTGTATAATTTAGGATTTAAATTCATTTTATTCCCTTTATGTATCAGTTGTCTTTCAGCAGCCAGAGGTTATGCACATTGTCAGGAATTTTTTCCAATTTTTATCCTGCAGTACCCTTCTGCTGCAATAATTTTTGCAATGAAACTTTTTCCAACAGGTGGCCACATGTTTGATCTTGCTACAGAAGGGATATGAAGTCTTTTTCTAAGGTTAATTTGTTGCACTAAAGATTCACTCCATAACTTGCTATTGATGGTGTGGAGTTCTTTTGTAGATGATATGAAAGAATGATGTCCACTCTGTCAATACCCTTTGCAATACTATATCATTATGACTAGCTAAACTTTTTTCCCATCATCTTGACTATTTCATGATGCTTATAGGGAAGCCATTTCAATTGACCAGTCATTGAGAATTGATAATGTACTGGACACTGAGGTGTCAATGTTGCTTTGTCTCTAATGTCATTACATGTTACAGCTGATGCATTTGTGCTTTCGAAAGAGGATCTCATACTTATGAATGAATGTTCATGATTCATGAATTAAGAGAAGAAAATGTTATGGTGGAGTAAAAACGTAAGTAAATGAATGGAATGTTATTGTAGGTTTTCCTCTTGCACATGGCTGTCCTGTGAATATTTTCATAATTTCTACATGGGCTTTCATTGATGACTCAGCAAGGTTATCGTATGTATATTTTTAGGATATCCATGCTGACATCCCCCAGGCCACCAGAAGAAGAGGACATCTCTCCAGATTTCCTTCTCTCTTTGCCTACAGAAGTGCTGCTGAAAGTCTTCTCCTATTTAGACGACCTTTCTCTCTACTGTGCCTCATTAGTGTGTCAGCGATGGTTCCACATTCTATCAACTGAGGTGGGGACACGGGAATGGCGCACACGCACGCTTCAGCGCTGGCCCTTGTTTCGCTTCCCATCCCCCCCAAACTCCCCTGTGCTCCCATGGAGACATATCTATGCCAACCTGGTTGACAGTGCACCTTGCCTCTATTGCCTGCACCAGATCTCATTGCACCTGTGTAGGGATGAAGGCTTGGCATCATCCTTGACAATGTCCTTGACTTCTTGTGATAGCAAGAGGGTCCTGACCCGGATCAGTGGGAAAGTGCCTCGTGGTGACCACCGTTCCATGTGGCGCACAAATCGCTTGCAGACTGAAGTCAGGGTCATGGCAGTGGAACCCCCTGAGGGTATCCAAGCTAAGCCTCTTGACTCTTACTATGTGCACTGGCAGGCATCCATTGTTGGTCCCTCCAACAGTCCATATGAGGGGGGCTGTTTCTACCTTTACATCCAGTTGCCCTGTGACTACCCCTTGAAGCCACCATTGGTGCGGTTTCTGACAAAGATCTTCCATCCAAATGTGAGTCGGCATGGAGACATTGGGATCGACTGCATCCAGAGGCACAACTGGTCTCTTGCCCTCACCCTCTCCAAAATTCTTATCAGTATCCAGAGTCTACTGACTGATCCATATTGCTATGTAAGTATCTTCCTTGTCAGCATTATCAACATGCATGCTTCAGTTTGGTTATTTTCTGGATTCTCTCCCATGACATTGCTCAACTGCTCTGCTGTTTAACTTAAGTATTCCTAGGGTAGGTGGCACCTCATCTATGAGAGAATGACATAGAGAAATATGCTAATCAGAAACTGATTAGGTACTTGATGGTGACATTGTCTTGATTTCAATTGTTTTCAGTAAGGTCTAGTCTTGCTGATTGATATGACACCCAGTCCAGTTGCCTGAGCTCAGAGATCATCTGAAACTTATTTAAAAGAGGATGGAGGAACCCTTTAGGAAATTTACATCAAATAGTTCAAGTGAAAATGATAAATTCATTCTAGGAAAACAGTCATGAAAGAGACAAATGTCTGGCACTCTAGTGGTGTGTTAGGACTACAGTACTTGATGCCAGGAGGTGGTACCCTGTGTAGCATTAGTTGGAATGCATAGATAGTCTGAAGTAGTGTGCAAGTTGTGGCTGGTGCATTAAATGAAATGCAGCATGCTGTGATTCAGTTTTTGTGTGCTGAGGGCACTGCTCCAGTTGAAATTTACTGTTGAATTTCTGCAGTGAACATAGGCAGTTGTTTGTTTCAAGCATGTGTGTATGAATTGCACAGCTAATGCTGTGAGGTGCTGTCACCTGGCTGGTGCTTCAAGTACTATAGCCCTAACATGATGCTAGAGTGCCAGACACCTACTTTTAATGACTACTTTCCTGAAATGAATTTATCACTTTCATTTGAACTATTTGATACGATCTTCCTAGAGGGTTGTGTATAAACTGTTGCAAGCTTGCTCAAACCTTACATTTGACCTGTCTTCTGTCATTTTGCATCTTCATATTTCTCTAGTTACATGACAACTGCAACTATGATAAGTAGGAAAAAATATATATTTTAAGTTTATCTTATTGATTATTGCAGGTCTGTATGGAACCAGCAATTGGAGAGCTGTATTTGCGGGAACCACAGAGGTTCATGCATATTGCATCGGCCTGGACTCGCAAATATGCCATGCAAGACTTGCTTCTCCTGTGATGCCACAGTTGCCATTTTTTTAATTCTGCATAAGTATTTCATTGGCCCAAGTTAAAAAAGGAGCAAAATTCTGCCTGAGATGGGCTTCCAGCTATCATCAAAGAACGATGTGGTACCTTGTGCTGTTTGTGGATCTGTCCTTTGGGGAGAGTTACTAAAGTTGATTGTTTGCTTATAAACTGCCTACTCACTTAAATCTTATATGAACTGGGATTGTAGATCTGCAACAACCTGAATCAACCTCATCAAGATTCTTGGAAACTACTTTTTTATTTTTACCAAATGTTGCAGAAGTGCAACACACCCCATATATATGTTTTTGATTTTGGGGTTGAACCAAAGAAACTCCAAAGGGAAAAAATTACAACAACATTTGATCAATTTTACACATAAGGTTAAGGATGGAAAGTAAGAAACAGGAATTTCTTGCACATTTGCAATTATTGTATGAATAGGAATTACTGACATGAAGGAGAGATTAATATAGATGGAAAAGGCCCATTATACTATTAATAATTTCCCTGCCAGCTGGGATCCACATGGATATGAGGATTGAAGGAATGTATTATGATAAAACAACAGGGAACACTCTCAACCAGTGACTTGAATAAGAGGTGAAACGAAAGTTTTGGAGGCACAAAGCCTCCTTCTTCAGGGAATTAAGGAATAAGATATTACATTTATATTGAATTGGACATAATTGCTCCAGTTACAGTCTTTTGATAAGGGTTTGTTGTTCCAAGCATTTATATGTTTATTTGTTCATTGGGGACATCAGGAAGCCTGGTGGGGATCTCCTTGGAGGTCTAGCAGTTCAATGAAGTGGAGTTACCAATCTGTCCCTGGTTGATACCATTAGGTGGTATCAATCATAAACGAAATGCAGGGTCTCTCCTGCAACCATGGTTGTGGCTCACAAGAGTCCAGTTTCACGAAGAACTCCATCTCACGATGGAGTGTCCTTTTCTGTCAGCATGGATTTATGTTGTATTAGCATCTCAATGTATGTTGGACTGAGGAATAGATTTTTCAATGCCTCATTTCGTCGTGACAAGATATTCCCCTTCCTCAGCTTAGTCGACATTAAACAAAGGTTGCTGCTATCTGCTTTTATTGCTTTCTGAAGGGGTATCATCTAAGATTGCGATGAGAGGGCTGAGATTTTGGTCATTTCCATGAGGCTGAAATTTCCAAATGGAGCATGCGTGCTTTCATGGGGCTCCTTTCAAGGGGCTCCGGTATATTATCTCTCTTTTCTTCTTTAGTTAATCCTTGAGGCAACAGTAAACTTTATTACTTGATGGAAGAGGTCAAATCTCCTTTGATTACTGATTGCGTTGTTTCTTATGAGGGAAGAGTGGGCTGTGGTTTCCCTCACGTTAGTTTCCGGAATATTTCGGTTAATGTCAAGTCAAGAGCATTGCTGTGGTTCGGGCTTGCTAAGATTGCTTGGTCAGGGTCTGTTATGAGCTTGTCGGTGTCTCTCACATGATTGTGACTGGTTTGTCCCGGGTCACGAAGTGCAAGATTCGCGAAGATTTCGTCTCCAGTAGCAGCTACCCGAGTATTTAGCTGAAAGTAGAGACGTATCAAAAGATGGGGCTGGGGGTTCAACCCCTTTCCCCCTCGTCCAACAGACTTTATGCTTGCTTCTTTCCGTTGAAATTACCAAAATGGACATCTGGGAAGGAAGAAGTAGCAAAATAAGCTAGAGTTGGTGAACCCAGCAACAAGATGATCGGTATTCACATGGAGAAGTGGATCGGGATCCGGTTTTGTTGCTGCGGTGATATTGATTCATTCGATGGGCGACCTTGAGGAGGTTCTATCAACAAGTTTTAGTATAGGACAACAAGGTCGGGCACGTATCGTCAGCGATATGTATCTATGTCAAGAAAGTCACTTCATAAGCGTCTAAAAGGTTTAGCTTCAGAGATGAGTCCACAGCATTTTTCAGTTTCAAACCTCAATCCCAGAACAGGGATGACCCATTGTATTTCCGACATTTTAGATTTGTATCTCGTCCAGCGTGGTTTTTTCTTTTCCTAGAAGAATCGAGTGGAGAATGTTGATGATGATCTCTGACCCATTCTTTTGGAGATGAAATGCTGGACGGCCAGATGGGCTGATGCTAGGGACTCGAGTCCGTCACCGCTATCCTTTATCGAGAATAATTTCGTATAACCCAAGCAACACATAAGGCACACAAGAAGGAAAGAGGGTCGAGTCGTAACGATCGCAAGGGCCTTCAGAAGAAAAAGCTTCATTTGACTCCATGAGAATCACTCCCCGTGTAACAGAGGCATATCGTCCTACTATGCTGTTGCGTACGGGGCTCGTACCGCAAACTTCCGTGGAAATACATTGTGCCATCCGAGCCCTCTCGTCAATATTGACTAATGTTGATTGGTATTGGACCAATATTGACTGGTTGATGTCGATGGCTCAACATTGACTCGACGTTGCGAAGACATGAAATTTGTATTGAGCTCCAGTTGAGTGCCCGACACCCAGTCCATGTTATGTGAAGATGATGTAAGGGCACGCCATCTGGCAGTTATCCAGGCAAACAAGGTTCTCGCAACATAAGCGAGATGCCGCCTTGATCGCCGATAGTCACTTAAAGGCATTTCACACCTGGCTGGGGTTACCATACGTCCTGTTTTTCCTGGAAATGTCCTCTCTCTTCGCTTTCCGCCCAGGAGGAAGGCGTCCTATGAGTTACCTTACAGTCCGGATCTTTTCCCTGGACATGTCCTCTTTCGCCTTCAAATTTCCATCCGACTGCGAGGCGATCTCTTTTTGGCTGTCCGAAACATGTTAACCCTACAGTTGGCGTGTCAAGCGTCCTTTATTTTTCTGTCCACTTACTTATGTCCACTTACAGCCAATAGTTTTCCCAAAACGTAAGGCTGGCGTTTTCAATTGAGCTCGTCCCATCTCCACACGCACTCACAGCCTTGCGTTTTGTGGAAACTATTGGATGTGAGTGGAAATGAGTGTGCATGCGTGCGTCTGCCTTCCTGCCCAAGCATCCACCAAAGGACGCATGACACGCAAAGTGGGAAATGCCCTTTACCCTTTCATGCAGTTAGTGTCACCAGTATTTTTCATGCTTGATATTTTCAAGGAACGCGAACAGAAATCAAATAAGGGGGAATACTGGCAGTGATGCGATAAGGACCCTATTTGGACAATGATGCAATGATGCTGCAGGAAGGTTCGAGGGGAAGGGGGGGGGGGGGAAGGCAGGGGGGAGTAGTGGTGTAGGAGAGAGGGGAGAGTGTGCGTCCGGGCGTCTACGCTTAATCGTCCATAATCATGACCTCTTTTCTTTCACTCTTACATTTTCTTCCATTGTCCCCCTCTCTCCCTTAGGCAATGATTTCGTGGAAGAGGCAACCCAGTCCAACAAAACTCTCGGTGGAGCCCGTTTGACGCGTGCGATACGAACACACTCGCATGTCTGTACGCTTCTGTTCACATTCGAATGCAAAAGAACACGTGGGTGCATCCATCCCCGCGTACATCCATTCTCGCGTGCATTCACGGGAAAAGAGGAAACGTAAAGCTTGTCGAATTGGGTTTCTTTGAATTCCTAACTAGGGGAGCGGCGAACATCATAAAATAGCAATACTTTCGAAGTCTAATTCACCCCCGTACAGAAACGTGGGCTGACATCAAAATTCTAGTCTGATAGGAGTGGAGCTTCAAATCTTTAGAAAAATGCGCCCTGATGGAAGCAGGCTTATTTGGTAGCGTATTTCTTTCTGCTAAACTCATTGCATTTAGGTCATCATTAGGGAGCGGATTTTTATGTAAATATTTTATGTAAATGCATATTTTTTCTGCAGTCTCATAGGAACATGCATCCCAGGTAGGATCATGTCTTATTGATAGAGGAAGCGATTTCTAACATTTTGAAAACGCATAAAAATGCATATTTTTAGGTCTTTCTCAGCATGTGCATATTTTCGCATATGTGTGCATATTTACATTTACGTGCCCATTTTTTATGGAGGAAATGATTTTCCAGGAAAATGTGTTTTCTTAGAGTTACCCATGAAATTTCTCCAGCGCTGTGCTGTGATCATTAGCGTAACGATGGGGGGGGGGGGTTGGCGAAGCCCCCTAACTATGCCTAAATCCATCCGCTACTCTCCAGTTAAGGAAATCCTGGCCCCCGTTCGTTTCCCTCGTTCTCCATCGGCGAGTTCCTGTCTTTGCTGCTGGTTGTGACAACAATAGATCAGCCTTCTAGTACGACGAAAAGGCTGTAGCAGCAAAGTTGGACGACCTCTCACGTTCGCGTATCAGTAGCGAACCTCGGACCGGTAACTGCAGCTGTGCGACTTGTATGTTAGTGCATGCCATGCGTGCGGCAAAGAGATCACTCACTATGTAGATGCTGAGCAGTCTAAAAATAAAAAATAAAAGGAATAGAATACTTCTTTGGTTTTTGTTGATACCTGTGTACTTGTTAAGTGCTAAAATAGGGATATAGTAGGTTTTAAATGGCCGCAATGGACAGACATCGATTCATGTCTGGCCCAAGATACGGTCTGGCCACAATATTACGAGTATACCATATGTGCGGAAAACATGTTACATATTGGACTCGGTCCCAGAAACGGTCCCACAGGATACAATATGCACACAGATGGAACATCACCGCAGAAGCTATGATGGACCGAGATACATGTTACGAGAAGAAACGCATCTCCTCCACGTGGCGTCCGTCGACTTGCAGGCAGTAACGCATGCTCCATCGCTCGACGGCACTCGAGTGGAGTGATTCGTGGACGGCGGGGATGGTGGCAGCTGAAAGCTGCTGGACAATTGCAGGCTTTGTTGCGGTAAACTTTTTGTTTTTTTAATAGTGTTCCATGGTCAGAGTTTCTGAATACAGTCATGCTCGCTGCCACGTGGCGTCGTTCCTCCATTGTCAGTCGGGTGACCCTGTCGTCCCGACTGGCGATATGAAGCCATGTCAATGTTGGCTTCAAATCGTAACACTGTTGATTTTAGCCTACGATCAAGATACCAGCGCGTACTTTGCTTACAACTTCGCCTCGGCGAAAGAGTTGTGCCTGTGCGAGTGTTTTTGAGACTGTCCAAAATGTAACATGTTTTCCGGATGTGTGGTATATGAATGCCTCTTTCTCGAAAGCGAAGAGAAAGTGTTCAGAGTGGGAACTGATTGAAGCATGAATATCTTGGTGCCATTTATGTGTGAATGATCCCGTGTTGGCCATGAAAGAATTAGTAGGGTGAGGAGCACGAAATGACCAACGCAATGAATTTATGATTCCATCCTCTTTGCGTTGGTCATTTCGTGCTCCTCACCCTACTAATTGGTGCAATTTATGATACTTTCAGTACCAGAACTGAACTCCTTGACACAAAATACCCTCATTCTGACACGAAACTCACCTTCGTGTGACTATGGTGTTTCTCACTAATGCCATTTTGGAGGCTAAGAGTAGCGGTCATTTCCAAAATTACCGGTTTTGCTTATTTTTGCGCATTTGTGCATTTGTGTATTGCAGTAAATTTTTTTTTATTTTCAGGCAGGAGCAGCCTTTTCTATATTCGGCCGCCATCATAACTCCGAACACTCGGAATCGGCGAAGACAGGCCAAAACGGTATCAGCAAGTCGGAAGCTTTAATTAAATGCATTTCGTTCATTTCTGCACAAGAGTGAATTTAATATTTTAAATGATGTTTCTGCCGCTCCCCCAAACGCTAACACGCAGTCGATTTTCCTTCGTTCGCACATTGCGTTTCCGCGGCAAATGCGAGATCCGTGCAATCGCATTTTTAGCAATGCCGAGTGTGAAACGGTCTCGATTCTCAGAGACGTCGAAGAAGTAAAGAGGGTTCGACTGGGCTCTTGGGCCGACAGCGTTAGAATCTGTCTCGCGTCAACATTAACATCTTAGGTACAACTCAGCGTGTCAACATTTTGACGTGTTGATGTAATATTGACGGTCTGCGAAGCACTCGACTGGAGCATCAAGGGAACGTGTCTAACAATATTGGGACCTGCTGCATTTCAACTACGATTCGACGTGTCGGGCATTGAGACTCTAATGCTTCTGTAGCTTTGAGTCGATGTTCTGTAGAGTGGGATTTTTCTCATGGTGGACCTTGATAAGGCGTAGCCATTACAGTTATTCTGCAGGTTTCGATTCTCTTAAAATGCGTTTATTTCAAGGGTTAATCCATTCGTCGGTTTCAAAGGGATAATCTGTTGTGGTAGCAGGTACGGCTAAGCATGATATTAATAGTAATGAGAGAAAATCAAACGATTCTGCACAGTCATCGGAGCCTCCATAAGCAAATTACAAACGAATTTTATTTGAGAAATGTCGTTATTGTCTCCATTTCGCAGCTCATCCCCTGAAAAATGTAAGGATGAACTTTTTGACTGCGCACACATCTCCCTATGCAATTCGACTGAGATCATATACACAATGGTGACTTTCCTCTGCGTCATTTCATTGCATGCACATTTTCACTGTCTTCCTTTTTTCCCGCGGCATCCTTTTCGCTGTGGAATGTTTTCTTGTGTAGTTTATCTCATTTGTTTCCGTTCCCAAGGGTGAGTTGAGGACGTGGATGGAAACAGTCGTCTCCGGTTACCTTTAGGGCAAAGTTTCTCCCGGCAGTTTATTCTTCCAGCGCATATCCCTTACGAAAAAGCCACACATGTGGACTACCCTAAGTCCACCGGAGGATTTGGATGAATCCACATATGGATCACATGTGGATCACATGTGGATTAAAAGGATCCACATAGAGTCCACATGTGGATATTCTTATGTCCACATTAGTCCACAACAGTCCACATGGCTAACTGTCAGTCCACATGTGGATCACCCGGTGGATTTGGATAGTCCTCCGGTGGACTACAGGGGGATTTTACGGAAGGGCATCCTTTATTCAATTCCATCAATCACTCCTGCATGACCAGGTCCTGGTGCTGGCTTACAGGCAGTTGTACGATACATATTAGATTCCATGGTCCGCATCGCATTGGTGTTCTGTCGTTTCTACTGATTTTTTCATTTCTTGAATTTGTCATGACATCATTCCTCATTAGCAGCAAGGGTCAGCCAAAGTTGATCGATGCAGCATTCGTATTGGTAAAGGAAAGGAGTACTGGAGTATTGGACATGTGAATTCCGTCTATTGAAATGCTGCAAGGTCAGAATCCATTCTCAATCGCGTCTGGTGTCAACCGCATTTAAGTGACTATTAACCTATTTTATTTTATCTGTCAATCCCCCAATCGAAAATTTTTCATTGGGACATCGATGGCTTTTCGTCGACGCATATGTATGCCTTAGTTGGGCCATCACTGGCTTATGGTCGGCTTACGGTTGGTTTAAGCCGGCTTATGGTCGGGTATGTCCTGTTGGCCCTTCATGGGGCCAACTTTGGCTCATTGTTGGGGAACCGCACATGCCACAACCATAAGCCGACTTTTCACAATGGCGAAAAGATGTAGGAAAAAAAATCCACATAAACTGCACGCACAGAATTATGCATCTTTCAGAGATAAGAATGCACACTTCATCTGGGAGAGATGAAGGAGCAGTACCTTACACAGGTACATTCCTATCGCCAAGAGTATTCAAGGAACATCCCATCCAGATGCTAAGGCGGAAGGCGGAAGGAGCGGAATCACATGGGAATGCAAGGGTATCTGTCCTCCCGCAGGAGGCCAGGCACACTTTACGCGTAATAAGACTTTTCAAAGCCATTACGTAGAAAAAGAAAGGTCACGTACACTCTTAGAAAAAGGGGAGCGATTTTTCTCAAAAAAGAGAGTAAAATAGCTAACTCCAGTTTCACTCTGGGAAAGGAGCGAATTCACTCCATCACCAAGAAGTAAAATTGCTCTCCTCCTCCGTGAGCAAGAACGCTCCCATCAGAAAGTGATAGGGATGTCATGCAAATACGAAAATTCTCATAAGTACTGTGTGGCGCTTTCCCTCTCTTACAGGCGTTGACCTACCTCTGACTGTACTGATTACAGCACACGTCAGAGGGTGGACCATCTCTTATAGGTTCCGTGGAGTGTCCAGGACATCAGCTCCTTATTACCTCATCAAATCGAGGCATGAATCGAATGAAGTTCACGGACACTCTGCATATTCTAGATCTCCTATACAGACAAAATCATAGGCTTCCCAAAAGGGTTCTCAATAGGAATATGAGCTTGTTTATGGCCTGGACTCTATGAATATGTCTTGAACATGTGGATAACAAATGATGAAATATCCGTGTTTATTGATTCCTATAATGAGACTAGACGAGACATACGGCAAGGTACTAAACAATCCTGCGAGGGACTATTCCAGCGATAAGGGTATCACTGTGCAATTGACAGTACAATCAATTGATGAATGGGAATGAATTGCCTACAATGGAATGCCGACAATCATTTGTCTGTCATATACCTGACTTGCAGTGGAATGTCTTGGAGCCACTTTTGGCAGCTCTGATTATGCCAAGTGGCGTATTTTACGGGGGGCGCCCCCCCCCCCCCCCTGGCACCCCTGGGATAGAGCTCGGTGCCCCCTTGGAGGAAATATTTTTTCCCCTCTGATATCACTCGGGCGGGGTTTGGTGCCCCCGCTCTCTTCTCATCCCCCCCCCTCCCCGACTCTTCAGCCAAAATACGCCACTGATTATTCCTATTTCCTATTTCTATTTTCCTTTCATTCCTATTTAAATTACTAACAATGCAGTATTATTAACGATAAAGGACCAAATAGAAACTTCGACCCATGTTCGAGAGCTGCAGACAATATCGAAGGTAGTATGTACGTTTACTTATCCGTTTATTCATGAGATTTTTGGCATTGCTTTTCAGAGACCAGTTTCTTTATATCCAGTTAGAAGGAGACGACGGTCGTAAATCTCTGCTGTTTCCTGGCTCTTCTATTGGCTCGTCAATGACGCTAAACCTGGAAGGAAAATACATTTCATTCTCTCCCCTTAGCATTTACTGTAATTAATGGGATGACATTTGAAACAGCTCTCGCAAGAAAAAATGCAAGCAGTAAAGAGATTTCTTTTTGTGTGCTTTTCGTCAATGACAAAAGTGAGTGCTACATGCCATCAAATTGAGCCAAGGCCGAGCGACCTAGCCCTTATCAATTCCAGCAGTTTGCCTCGGCGATAAGCTCTTCGGCTCCGATTGGGTTCTTCCGCAATCTCTGCTCTCATAAGGTCCGCCGTCTCGAACGGCCCGAGCTAACTTGGAAGGGTCACCTGAACGTCATGGCTGAGATATTTGGCTATGACGTGAATTTTCGAAAGTTATATATAGGAGTGGTTCGTCCCTACCTGACTTCTGCGTCCCGGTTTGGATGCCCTGCACATCCAAACTTGTAAATAAATTCAAGCGAGTTCAGAGCATCGTTACTCACCACGTTACGAAAGTTGAGGAACTTAAAATTCGTACTTTGAGCGTCCGAGGATGTCGAACATGATCTCGAATGTCGACGAAAGTGCTCTGCTCTATCCTTCCGTTTGAAGCCCGAGGGGGAGTAGAAAAGTTCCTGGACTTAATTTTCTACAACGGGAAAGACGAGACGCTGACCTTCCAAACTCGGGCTATTTCTCGACATTATCTCCCTTCACATCCACGCATTTTTCCACCGATGAATTGAAGGCCTCCCCATACCATTCTTGAGGTTGCTGTCGTCGACATCAGTGGGGCGATGTTTTGTTTTGAGAAGGGCTTCGGAACGAAACGAAAACCCGAACGGAAAACCAGAACGGAACGGGAAAAAATTCCTGAAACGGGACGGAACACTATTCACTGATGGCAGAGGAACGAAAAACCGGAACGGAACGAAATTGATTACTCCTGAAAATGGAGTAATTTCGTTGCATTCCGTTCCAAGTACCCCGACCATTTTTCCTCTGCAATCGAAAAATTTGAAGAAAATTTCTGTTGTATCACGGGTATGAACAATTTATATTTGCTTGTGCTAAATTTTATTGAGGAACAGTGGAAGGGAACGGAATGAAATTAACCATCGTGGAACGAAACAGAAGTTGGAACACATGGGGATCAGGTGGAATAGAACGAAACGCGAAACGAAAAAGATTCGTTCTCAAACCCAGCCTCTAAGTCACCCCAATGGACTCCTCCCATTGCATTTTTCTTTTTTTTTTACTGAATGCTTTTCTTTAAATGGTAAGTTTCATCCTTTGATTTAAATTACTCATTACCGACCTGCTCTTTTGATCTCTAGTCTACGATGCTTTCCTCCCTCTTGCCTCCGTATATCATACATTTCTTTGTCGATAAAGGTCAGGAGAGCAAGAAATCAACGGCTTGTTTTCCACACCTACTGAATGGTCGATGGTCTGCGGGTGGCAGCCCCGGCAGGCGACGAATATGACGTCACGACCCAGCAACCAATGGAAAGTAGACAACTCACACGTGTTCCCGGCTTCACTCCCAAGGGCAATGGCATCTCGTTACGTGGCCATGCCGGTGCATTCAGGCCTTTGCTTGTCTGTTCGATTCCAGTCAAAACGCTTCCTTCGTGTATAGACGGTAGCGGCGTGGCATGAGTCTGTCTAGGACCAATGGCATTGACTTATTTCACTTGTGACACTGGTTTGGTGTAGGGTTAGCACTCGGCAAGGAAGGGGTGTTATTCAGTGTTTTTCAAATGAGTAACTTTTTTTCAACTTAGACACTAGCGCATTAGGAACGTCCTATGCACGAGTATCCGACTAAAGTAAAAGATTGTCTGGCTCAAGTGAAAAACACTGAGTGAAGGTGCAGTAGCACGTTGATGTAGGCCTAACAGGCGTAGCAATGTATTTTTGACCTGCAGTCGAGTGGAATATGGTTAACGACTTCCGGCACCATTCGGCATACTATAGACGTAAGACTTGCCCGTGCTATTAGTGTACCAAGTACACTTTGATTTGAACAGACTCCTAAGACTGCATGACAAATCTTTTAAAGAGATGCTTGAAGAATTTACTTTTGCCATGACTTCATCTCTGAAAGGTAGAAAGGACCTTTCTGAAGATGAGGCCTATTGTAACATTAGCAATTTTGGCTTGATATTTAAAGAGTTGAAAGGAAAAGTGGTGTATCTGCAAAAAGTTCTTTCTCTGAGCTCCACAGGAAAGAGTGAATATTCTAGCAACTATCTTTAAAAGTGAGGAAAAGTGGTATGCATAGATAGACCAGTTTTTCAATTACAAAAATTTATGAAACCACCATTTTCAATGATAGGAAGAAGGTTTTGTGAACACTGAAGAACTAATTTTTTTTATACATTTTTTTGCAGTTTGACCATTTTCCTTTAAGCTCTTCATTTATTCTCTTGGCAATTCTCATGCTGACATGCCTCCCCTGATTATAACCTTTTTAACCATTACAGCAAAATTCTGACTGAGTGGACATTTACATAAGTTTCTAGCTAGAATCAGGCTATTTGAAAGATCCCTATACTGTCTTATGGCTTTAATTCCTCAAATCATGCCTCATAAATGAAATGATTTGACTGAAGGTTTAAGAATTTCATTTAATTACATGGCATAGACCATGCCAGAGTTTGCATTTTGATGGAATCCTGCTGTTTTTTGCGTATGCACTGATACTAGTATTTGCATTTGTTGTGGAGGGCCTTAAAATGGCCAAATTACTATTGAATTAAGGCTGAAAATGGGAGAAAGAACAATTCAAGCAGTAAAGGCTAAGACTATGGGTCCAGCCTCACTCCATAGACAGGACAAGCTGTCAATGTGATGACTGATGACGCTAAGAAAAGACTGTGCTCAACAATAATAAAAAGAACAATATTTAATCTAAGTTGAAGTAGAGGGCAGATATCACAGGTGTAAAGGTGGACTTACTGACAAGCAGACTGCTCACTCCCAGACAGGCTTAGTTTGCAGACAGGCTAGTTTGTTTCCAGCAACTCTCATGTAGAACAAGTACACACCACTGCCACTGAAGACTTGCAGTGCAGAAAAAAGACCGACTTGCCAGACAGAACATGTAAGACTGACACGCAAGACAGGATGGTGTGACAGGAAGATGTAACTCACCCCCAATACTGTAGAGGGTTCTTCAGCACACCCCTGACATGGGCCATGGCCCAAGCAGGACTACATGTTAAAGGATGTATCTGCAAGAGCTCTAAGATTCTCCAATTAACATTTTCAATATTTGCCTATATGACACATTGACATATTGGTCATTTATTGCTGTATCAGTGTTTTCAGTACAACTAACTCATATTTTTGCTGTCTTTAAAGGACCACAATAGACTCATTTAAGGGTGACTTATAGGGGGAATCAACTGGACCCATTCCTATGCCTGCTAAATGAAATGAGAAGCATATCTTGAGCCATAAAAAATATTAATCCTGGCATGAATTTACCACGTCCCAGTTTCATGTGGGAATGTAGGCAAATGTTGACATAAACGCATCTCTAATATATTTGGTGTCCTTCATGCATGAAGCAGAGCAATAAAAAGAAAGCTACCCTTGAATTAAACTTTGAAGTCAAGGTCTGTTTGGTTTCTTGCAGGTGTGGAATATTCGACCCAAGTTCATGATGGCTACCTTTTCAGTCCCCATAATTTTCTTAGTTTTGTTTTTCCAAACTGTCCTGTGTGGAGAGCACGATGTGGTCCAACTGTCTGATGACAACTTTGAGCATAAGCTCAAAAGGGTTGATAATGCTTTGGTGATGTTCTTTGCACCCTGGTCAGTCTCTTCTTCAAAGCTTTGACATGAAACACTAGCTTTAACCTATTTGGTATGGTGTTTTCTTTGCACAGTCATGCCTCCTGGCTAGGTTTTTTTTGGAGTGTGTGAAATCTGTGTTTAACCCTTTTAGTGCCTCATGGATGATTTTATTTGCTACATGTACTATTGCTAAAAATATCATAGACTGGTTTTTGGACACAGCTTCGTTAGGTTTCATCCTTCACATAGTTGGAGTTTTTGTTGTTAAATGGCAGTAGCTTTCAGATACAGTGATCTACATGCATGTAAGTTACTTTTTTGCCACTAGTTGTACCCCTTGTATTTTGTTTTATTTAAGCTCAGGAGTGATGTTATTTTGGTATAAGTTAATATAATTCTTTTTTTTTTTATTAACTTGCTGTGCAAATGTAAAAAATATGACCAAATATGTGTTGTGAAGGAAAAATGACTACACAAATATGATAATAGCATTTGAGTTTGGAATAAATTATTTAATTGTGCTTTAAAGTTAGAATTTAAATTTTGAAAAAAGTATTAAAAGGTGAATGAAAATTTTAAAAATTATTATTAAAAGTAAACTATAATCCATAATACTCAGCATATCTGAGTACATTTAAAAAAGAATTATGTCTTGATGTTGTATACTTTGGGAGTTATGATATTATTTCTGAAGCATTGGAATTTACAAAAAAAGGCTTGGCATTTTTCACAACTATTTGCCATTATGGCTTGGCACCAAAAGGGTTAAGAAAGAAATTGGGCTTGTAACATGAAGTATCTTAAAGTATGAGTGGTTCACAGTAGCACCTAACTTATTAGTGCTTCAGGGTGTGGTATTTGTAGAAGCAGGGGTTGACATTGAGAGTCCAGTCACCCCAGAATCACTGGTTAATTGCATCTAATATTTCATTCTTAGCAGCACACAAGTGATCACTCCTGGATCTGGTCATGTTGCTCACTTACAGCTTAGGATCTTAGATTCTCTTTCAGTTATCATTGAAAGTCTAGCCAGGGGGGAAGGTGGCAACACTGGCAAAGTCACAAGGTACCCTGCAGCATACAAACACAAGCCCATTTCTCTGTTACCAGTATAATCATAAGAATAAAGCATAGAAACTGCAAATTGTACTGGTACAGTAGTAGGCCTGAGAGTCCATTCTCATGTTACCATTCTGGTACAGTTGTAGAACTGAAAGGGTCAAAGGCAACTTGTTTTTCAGGGGTACCATTGATAGACACTGTACTTTTTCTGCAGGTGTGGTCACTGTAAGAAGCTGAAGCCAGAATTTGAAGAGGCAGCCAAGATCTTGAAGAATGATGATCCTCCAGTTCTCCTGGCAAAGGTTTGGCTGAACCTCAAAATTCCTTCCCATCAATTATAATTCCCTAGATGTCAAAGTTACACTAAATGAGATTTTTCTTGTCACCAGGTTGACTGTACTGAAAGTGGAAAGGACACTTGTGGAAAATTTGATGTAAGTGGATATCCCACTCTGAAGATCTTTCAGGAAGGTGTTTTATCAAAGGAATATGAAGGGCCTCGGGATTCAAGTGAGCATCATATGATTACCACATCTACTGTATCATAAATATAATTTCTTACAATATTTGATTGATGAAAATGGTGCATTTTGCCAGAGGGAATTGTTCGATACATGCGTCAGACAGTAGGACCTGCAGCCAAGTCATTTAATAGCATTGAGGAGGTGGAGAAGTTCCTGTCATCACAGGATGCAGCCATCATTGGTAAGCAAAACACTCTTCTCGTTGCTTTGCGGTTTTAGCATCTCTCTCAAATTATCTTTGCCTTCAGTTTTGATATGAAGTAAGGATAGAAAACTGGAAGTGCTTTATGCTGCTCTTACCTATGATAATTATTTTCACCAAAGAACAATTTTACCCACTATTAACGATATATTGGGCTTTTTCTTTTACTTTGTCCCACCTTTACCCTCACTTGCTTTGAGGAGCTTACCAGGAGTTTCTGAAACTGGATGAGTTTCAATTCATTTCATCCTCACTGGCTTTGCTGATGGCCCATCCCAAGACTTTCTCTCTTTAGAATGAGAAAATGCAGAAAAATGTGGTATATGAGACATGGTTGAAAGAATCACATTTGTAATTAAATTATTGGGCTGGGAAAGGGAGATGGTTTTTTGCGTATGTGAAATAGATGGCTATCATTTGTCATGGGGAATCTATATTGAAAAGCTGGAGAGGATTAATGAGAAAAAGAAAAGTTCTCACCACAAATAGGGTACATGAAGTCATGGTGTTGTTCTCAGAGGGATACCTTGCTTTCTCAGCTGTCACTCATAGTTTCATGACTCATTATATGCTGATGTAAGCACATTATCAGCTGGCCTTGCCAATACTAAATCCATTTGAACCACCACTGTAGGATAAGAGTCTTGCCTCAGCAGTTATCAGGTGAGGCTGAGCCTTGAAAGTAAGCTGCATTGACATTAAAAAACTGTTATGCTCAAAGTAACTGAAGCCTTAATGTGGTCACTGCATCTTTGAACCAGACTCAATTTTAGAATTTGGTGGAAAATGAAATTCCAAATAGCTTGTCCTGTTATGAAGGTGGGTAGGCTTCTAGATGAGAAAAGATTGTGTAGCCTGTGTCTACCATCAGCAGTAACTCCCTCTGCCTTTTAGCACAAACACAGGGAGTCACTGGCTCTTGGTCCTTATATCTTGATGTAAATTACATACATGGTTCTCAGAAATTGGTGCATGAAGCCTAAATAATCATCCCTGATGAACATTTGAGAAATTAGTCTACTTGAACATTTGCATCTTGGTTCTTTGCAGGATTCTTCAAAGATGACTCTTCTGATATGGCAAAGCAATTCAAGAAATTGAGTGACAAGAAGAGGACTGTGTGGAAGTTTGGGGTCACTAATAAAGATGATGTCTTGGACAAATATGGATACAAGTGAGTAACTACCTTTTTTTCAATCTGTAGTTTTCTGAGTATTTTCCTTCCATAAAGACATCATTACTGTATGGCCTTCCAGAGACAATGTAGTGCTGTTCCATCCCAAGCAACTCCACAGCAAGTTTGAAGAGTCCAAGTATGTTTTCCCCAAGGATGGTAGCATGGAGTTGGAAGACTTCATCCGCAAGTTCCAGCATGGCTTAGCTGGTCATCGCACTCCTGACACAGTCACTGACTTCTTTGACCCAGATATTCCTCTCATTGTTGCCTATTACAATGTTGATTATGTCAAGAATCTCAAAGGTGAAATCTTGACCCACAATTCAGCTGTTTGAGGTCAAGGGAAAAATAGATTTTCATGACAGGAGTTTTACTGTTGAACAGGAACCAATTATTGGCGGAATCGTGTCATGAAGGTGGCCAAGGATTTCCTTGGGAAGTTGCGCTTTGCAGTTGCCAACCATAATGACTTCCAGAATGAACTCAATGACTTTGGAATCACTTTCACTTCTGGCGAGAAACCTGTCATTGGAGCCAAGGATGGAAAAGGGCAGAAATTTATCATGGATGGGGAGTTCAGGTAAATTCCATTCCATCATTGTGTTCATAACCAGAGACATGATGAATTCACTCAACATTTTTTTTTTTCCAAGTGTGGAGAAGTTGGAAAAATTTGCCCAGGATTTGTTGGATGGGAAACTGCAGCCACATGTGAAGTCTGAGGATACCCCTGAACCAGGCCCTCCAGGCTCAGTCACAGTTGCTGTTGCCAAGAACTTCAAAGAAGTTGTCACTGATAATGGCAAGGACACACTGCTTGAATTCTATGCTCCATGGTGTGGTCACTGCAAGAAACTTGCCCCTATCTATGATGAGTTGGCTGAGAAGGTCAGTTGATTTGTTTGAATTTAGCTGAAGTATTCTATTCAATGGAATTCTTATTCATGCACTCTGAAAGTGTTTTTTCCAATTATGGCATTTTAAAATCTTTGTGTATGCTCAAATTATACTTAAATCAATATCCATGGATTTCTTTTCTCATATCTCAGATGAAGGATGAAGATGGCATTGCAATTGTGAAGATGGATGCCACGTCCAATGATGTTCCGTCCACATATCAAGTCACTGGATACCCAACCCTGTACTGGGCACCCAAGAACAAGAAGGATTCACCCATCAGATATTCAGTAAGACACCAGGTTTAGTTTTAATGATTTTTTGAGAAAAGGTACCTGTGCTAAAGAAATATTGTTAAATTGTTCCACAGGGTGGTCGAGAACTGGATGACTTGATCAAGTACATTGCTGAGCATGCCACTGATGAACTCAAGGGCTGGGATCGGAATGGAAAGAAGAAGAAGGAAGAGCTCTAAGGACAAATTAGGCTGAGCTTGGGTTGAGTGAAATTTTGGATAGGCCTACAAGTTTGGATGTTTTAATTTTTAATGCATATTATGTCACTTTCCCTCATATTGAAAATTTTTTTGTCTCTCTGTGTTTAAAAGAGGCGCATTCCACTCGCTGCAGGTCTCTGTGATATTGCAAGTGTGAACACTGTCTCATCTCCTTGTTTTCTCTTGAAAATGGTTCAATGTGTCCTTGTGAGTGGGAATAAATGTAAGACTGTTCATAAGCCTGAACTCTGTTCTCTAGACAACCATAAGTTGAAGGTAGAGGTAAGAAGATTTTTTATTCAGCTATGATGAATGATACAAAGCAGAAGAAACACCATAGGACTGGAAAGCATCCATTCGACCTCTAAGTGGATGTGGACGAAGACCAAGGCCTTGTGATGGGTTCCAACGCATTTCTTGTCTCTCTGGATTTTCTGGTTTATGCTTGTGAAGAGCCTGGAATTACATATATCCACATCAAATTCTATGTAATGATGCAATGACTGTCTCCTCAGTGACTGTCTACCTTATCCTGTTCAATTTGAGCTGCAAGGTCAAGGCGATACTGCTTGATTATCTCCCTCTGCTTCTGTTTTTCTTCCTCTAATGCCTGTTTCTCTCCTTTGACCAATTCCTCTGTCTCCTGCTTCTCCTTCCTCTTCTCTTGCTCCCATGCCTCTCTAATTCTTCTTTTTGCAGCCAGGTCCTCCTCCCACTGCTTCATTGCTTCCTGCCAAATTCTGTAATTGTCAGATTTTTTCAAAAGCAACTGCAAATCAAGTCTCATCCCTACCTGTGACAGCTGAAGCTTGGCATTCTTTTCTAGTTCTAATTGCTTCATCTTTGCTTCCCAGTGCTGTAGCTCAAGATCTTGGAAATACTTGTCCTCGGCTTCCTGAAGTTGCTTTTGCTTCTTTCTTTCCTCATTTGCCAACAACTTGTACTCTTGCCACACTTCCATCCCCTTTTTCTGCATTATATGAACACATGTGCTTTGTTGTTCTGGGCAAACCCTTAAATCTTTAAAGATTGTGCTTTCATCACCTTGTTTAGCAGGTCTTAACAATCGCAACTAGTTCAAGGACCATAACACAATAGTGGATCATCATTTGATCTGTCATGTCATACATGTTGAATACTTGAGAAAAGAATTCAGTTGTGACATGAAGTATGCATTTGAAAAACTACAGAACCATTCATATTTATGATCCTACTTGGCTGGACCAACAGGTGCTACCATCCTAAGCTTCATCTGCAAACTCCCAAGTGTTGCTCCCTGCAACTGTTACAGAGAACCTCATGAACCACATCCACATTGCATCAACAGCTTGACCCTTTCAGATCTGAATTAAAGCCACAATTGGAATAATATACTCTTTTGCATTTTTGAGCTCTTTTGCTATTATACTTTAAATTTGTATGTTCTAAATATCATTTTTATATTTTGCATAAATTTACCATATATATTATACATGTAATTACTTAACTGAAGATGAAACTGATGGGTGGAAGGTCTCCAATGGAATTAAGCCACCCATAATTGTGCCCATTGTAGTGTAATAAAGGGCATAAAGTCACCAGACACTATGAAAATGCACCGTCCATTGGAATGGACGCCAGGTCCGAAAGAGTTAAGAAAAGGTTGTCACACATCATAGCACAGTCTTCTGGTTCAAGGTAATTTTTATCCAGTAGGTCTTTTTCAGAATGCACTGCTCTTAATACTTCAATTCAATGAACACAATTTGTAGGCCTACTGGCTTCAAAGCATCCAGAGTCCCTTGATGCTGATAACTGACCAATGTGGTTTGTTCTTGCTCCTCATTCTTGTTAACAATTTTGGATGGTAGGTTCTATTGGTCCAGCCTTGTGGATTCTGAGTTAAAAATGAGCATGAATACCATTGCAAAGTTTTCTCTTATATTCACTGTTTCACATCTTTACCTACCTCTTGCAGAATCAATGAATGTTTCATTAAGTTCCAATAATCTGTATACTAGATTCAATTATTAAGAAGAATTAAAGGACTTTTTGGGACACCCTGGATTCTTAGTATCAAAGTTCATATATCTTATTGACATAACTGATCATGAGTGCAGCTTCATGTTCAGGCTTCAGGAACCTTATGGAAGGCAAACCAACCTCCTTCATGGACTTAGAAAGAAGATCCTTTTGATATTTCTCTTGAACTGCCTGGAGTTCCAAATTCTCCAACTGCTGCATTGTTTTTTTTTCCTCTTCACGAATGCGTATTCTTTCCTCAATCTCTTTCTCTTTCTCATCTTTGAACCGAAGTTTCTTGACCTTTATCTTCTCCTTCTCTGGATATATGAAGTTAGTTTCTTTTTAGAAAAAAAAAGTTCATATTTGAGTCTAACAATCAAAGGTAAACACACCCTTCTGTTCAGCCTCAGCAATTTCGGCTTTCAATTTTCTTAATTCCTCTGCTTCTTTGGCTTTGACTTCATCCTCATACTTCTTTCTTTCTTCTTGAAAAGCCATTTGCTGTTGAAGATTTGAAGCCAGCTCCCTCTGCTTCCTCTCACATTCCTCCTTCTCTGCTTCCTCTTCTTTTTCCTATGAATTTTAGTATTCTCTCAGTTTTTAGCTGCAAAAAGTTTTATAGTTTATTCAGGAGACTACAATATAAAGTACCTGAAGGAGAGCTTTTTCAGATCTCAGGCTGTTCCAGAATTCATTTTCTTTAGCAGTGTACTCTTTTGCTGCTTTATGTTCCTTCAACTGCATTTCCCAGGACTTCATTGCATCAGCCTGCATTTCTTTTTGGCAGGCCTCATGCCATTCTTGACTGTTCTGTCTGAATTCATCAAAACATGCTCTCAATATATCTTTTCTGGAATATTAACCCAAGCAGAATTGGAACATTAACCCTTCACTGCTGCCCAGAAGTTAGCATCTCTTTCTGTTGGCCTTAAAAAAAAAAATGGTTGACAAAATTACAAAGGCTAAATGATTCCAAAAAAGTTGATATATGGTAGAAAGTTGGACTGTGTTATGGGTACAGGACCAAAACGATATACCCTGTGTTGGGAGCCATAGGAAATTAATAAACTCATGATGTGTTAGCTTGGCATGCAAGTAGTAAATAGGTTAACCCTTTTACTGTTACTTTTTTTTCTCTACCCATCACTGTGCCAAGTTTTTCACTTCTGGTGTATCATTTTATGACTTTCTGATAATAAAAAAATATATGTTCCCTCAATTACCTCTTTATGTAAGTGTATAATTGGACTGGTACTGATTGTCCGGAAAATCTCAGCTAAGAAGTGGAAGAGGAGAAACAATTCTGCACTTAAGTTAACTTAATCATATCAGTTACGGTGTTAATAGAGGTTCACAAAGAAAGCAAAGGGAACTGACTGTTGACAAAAATGACTGCCTCCAGAGGCCCTCTTGGAGTATCACCCTTGTCCATAAGCTCCCTACCAGATTCATAACTTCTTAGGCTGCTTGTAGATCCAAGTCAACTGTTTACTTTTCTTTGGTTCTAAAGGGAATCATGCAAGCTACCTACAATCAAGGTACTCATTTTTTTTTATAATATCCAGATGAGAGTTAATGTAACTCAGTCAAATGCAATTAGTGTTTTTTTTTTTAAGATAACTGATGCAATCATGTAGTTCCTTTCATAGAGTAGAGTAAGGCCACACAGATATGATATCAAGTACTCATGAGGCTGTGTTGATGGTTTTGAATGCATGAACATTGTACCATGAAGAAAAGTCCAGAGAAATTGAGGATGCAATATGTGATTTTGACGACTTCATCCAAGGTTGGTGCTCCCAATGAAGCCCCATCCACCAAGCCAATCTAGTACCTTATAAGCTGCTCCTGCTTCTCCTTTGCAATGGCTCTTTGCTCCTGCTGTCGAATGCGCTTCAGACATTCCGCTCGATGCTTGGCCAGGTGGAATGGAGTAGGCTTCTGTGTAGCCACACTTGGTATGTCGCTTTTCAAGGCCTCACCTTCCTCCTTTAGTAGTAGCTCCTCCAGCCTGAAAAATTGTCATTAGCTTCCATTTAAGGTAGCAGACTTACTTTAAAGCAACTTTTTCCATCTCTATTCCTTCCCAGAAACCAAACTGACTATATGAAAGAGGATTGAACAAATATTGCGTTTATAGATAATTTGCATAATTTATGCTAATGAGTTCCAATATGGCCACCAGAGTGCAAAAAATTGAACTTTTTTCAAACAATAATTCTCACAAATGGTTCACATACGTTTGATGGAATTGACAAGTTTTGCAGCTCGAATCCTTACAAATGTTCTAAGGGAAACAATTTTTCAAGAAATAGGTGATTTTTTTCAAAAATATTTTTTCTATTTTTTCGATATATATTTTTTTTTAGCAATGTTAGGGATCTAATTATATACCCAATGGTATTAAAAAGTGCTAAATGATTGGGTAAACGAAAAAAGCTACCATCATTCCTTGGAGAAACATTCAAGGTAGCTCTCAGCCAAAAATGAATGATATGGGTATATTATACGAAAAGTTATGTTGTTCAGAGCAGCATCTGTCAGCTGAAAATCACTGTAACAAGAAAATTGCAACCAAAGTGGTTGCCAGGGACACAGGTTAAGGACATTGGTAACTAATTAAGCTAATTAACCATTTTTTCATATTTTCAGCTTTTTATGGTGATATGAATCTGTACCAGTTGAAGTATGATCTTATTCAATTTTCGTGGAAATGATATTTTTTCGAAAAATGATTAAAAAGCTGGTCTGCTACCTTAACTCTTCAGCAGCAGCAGTGCCTGAGGCTGACAAGCTCTCTGTGAGCTTTGACTGCCCAAGTACCAGCCAAAAAGAAATATGATATTATAATGATATTATAAATATAAAGATTCCATGAAAAAAGTGGGGCTTTTGATGTGGAAAGGACGTGGACTAGTTGCTAATGGAATCTGACAAGATCAGACAGAATATCATCACCACATCATCATCTTTACCAAATTAAAATTGAAAAATGTATGAGTTAAACTTGACTTCTCACATCTGTAGAACTAGATTTGAAACTTGCTTGACAATAAAGGATTTTTTCCCTGACTGCTTTAGATGATTGGCTCATGATAGGGAACAGGAATTGCTATGTTTCTGGATCCCAGTATGATGCCTTCCCTAAGCAGGTTGTGGTCTTTGTGATCAATGTTGAAATCAAGACCAGTTTCAGGATGGCATCTGTGTTGATCTTTGCCTCACAATGTATGATAACATGAAGTGACCCAAAAAAAAAGGCTCAACTTTACATGGTTGCAGATGGAAGACCATGTAAAGTATCATCAGAAAATTGGCAGAATCTAATTTTCAACGTGTGTAGGCTCTACCACACAAATTTCAATGAAACTCATTCACAGGAATCTATGCAAAGGCTGCCATAATATTTTAACACTTCCACTGCCAGGAATTAGTCCTTGCATTGGCATCTGGTTTCAAAGAAATTCAAGAAATACACTTTATATTGATGAAAGTAAAGCAGTATTCCATTCATAGCAACCTATGTACTCTAAAACATTTTTACACTGCACTGGTGATTTAAACACTCATAAATGTCCTTGCCAAGCACTGCAAGTTGGTGGAGACTCACCATGTCAAATGAGCCATATAGCATGAACAGCAGTCAACATGCTAACACTCTAACTTCCTTGTTTATTTGCCACCATGCACTAAGCTCTCATACTGAGTTTTTTTGGTGAAATATGCAATCTTTTTTGTATGTATTATGATAGGCAATCAATAGTATATTGTGTATGTTATTTCTCTATACTATTAGTATCTTACCAAGAAGTTCTGATTGGACTCAGAAATGAATGATGTTCACAAGGAAAACTGGAAAATGAGTTAACTTGGGTGTGAGAGTGAAAGGGTTAAATGAGAGTGTCAGCACATGAAACCTGGCTGCTTCCTCAGGATAGGATTGGACTTACCTCAGCCCATTCCAGTCCAGCTGAGCAGGCAGGTACAAGCAGACCCACTTGCCCATATCTCTTCACCTGTCTGTACACACCTTATGAATAATATACATAATTTTAAAGATAGTACAGATTAATTAGCATATTGCTGTGGGCAAAAAACTGAACAAGATAGTTTTTTATGGGTACAATTAATTGAACAGTGCAATCCCTTTCTGGCTTTGTTTGCATGAACATTCCTTGCAGCCAAGATCAAGCTGGGGCTTGTCATATCCCAGGTAGTACATGCTAATCTTCAAAACATCTTCATCTGGTCTTCACATCTACAGCATAAAAAATGAGCTAATCTAAATTTATTTGTACTTTTTCCAGTATCACTGTGTTGGTTTTCATCAGAGATTTTAAATCTAAAGCTATTCTTACAAGCATTTTTATTTTTCTTTATCTCCTAATTAATTATTGTGGACTTCAAAAAGACATCTTAAAGCATCTTTGAAATCATTTTTGAGATGTCCCCAATTTCTACAAAAATGGGCAAATGCTTGCCAATCCAGATGGTGTGATCCTTTATCAAATTCTTGAGCCATATTTATTTTTGGCTAAAGGCAAAGAAAGTAATCTTTGCATTCTCATCCTTGAGTTGTCTTCAAGATGCATCTGATTTTTTAAATGATCATGCATACCTTGGAGGACTTAATTCACCTTGTAATGAAGCAGATGAATTAGAAGATCTTTGATCAATTGGATACAATGAACATTTCCTGCTCATGCCTTTCTACAAGGGTATGACAAGTAAACATCCACATAATTTTTGTGTCCAGCTCTTATGGTATGCCCCTATCAGATTTCTCCCTAACTATGGTGATGTTTCTTTCTTCTAAGCAGAGCCCTATGCTAAGAAGAAAAGAACTTATGCCTTGAAGTTTATCTGACATAAATCACATCATCGATTTATAGTTCAAGCTACAAGCAAGCCATCTTGCAATCATTCAAAGAAACGAGGTTCTCACAACTGATGTGAGATGGCAGCCAATTCACTGCAGAGACAATTCACACCTCGATGGAACTGTTAGTAGTCCCCAGTATGTTACGTGTGATATCTAATATTTTTTCCCAGCACAACATGTGGGGTTACGTTCAAATACTTTTAAGTCATTTTACTAAAATGTTTATCCAGGTCAAGGAGACTCTAGGTAGTTCTGGCCTTGAAGATGGAGGGTGCATGGCTCAAATAGTGATCTCTATCCAAGGGCTTAAGCTAGAGCAGGCTCCCATCATTAGGTAAGGTAAAGAGCATAAAAGATGGTAACAGAAGCCTTGCCCTTTCCCAATGAAGATATAAGAAGTCACATGAGAATGGGAATGGGGGTGGATGCACAGTTACAGTAAAGCAATCATAGTTCACTACATCAGTTACTTTTGTCGGTTGGTTTCAAGCGACAGTTTCCGTTGTACTTTCCATGCTTGACGAGCCTGATTGACGAGCTCGTCAACATCACGAACGAGTCCGACTTGTCCCGGACCATGGAACTCCAAACGTGAAGCTTCTTTTTTGTCTTCAACCAAGAAATCGGTCAGGGATCCTTGACGCAACTCACGCCGCCTCTGATGAGCGAGGAAAGTATCTCGAGCGTGGCTACTCATGGGCATGATTTAGGCGAAATGTAAAATAACGTGCCCACACAGTAGATCAACACCCGCACATGTGCTTGAATTTCGTCGTTGCTATGGTGATAAGTGTTGTCATAACGAAAAGTGAAAGCACCCTCATCAAAACAAGGACTTTGACGGTTTTTCTGAACCATTTAGACTAATAGTGGCCATAAAGATTTTTTAAATAATTACTTAAGGATACTTTTTCGTTAAGAAGGTAGCTCATGCTTCATTTGTGAATGCTGCTGCTGCTGTATGGTCCCAATGAGGCGCAGGCGATGGCAGAGGAAAGCATGTGATTCGATAAAAATGGTCGCTTACAGTCAGTGCGGGGTTGTTATTCTGTGGATTCAAGACCGTGTGTGGGTTGAACGGGAACATTCATGTGTGTGACTTCTCTTCGTCAGTGTCCTGCGAAAATTGGACAGTGGACAGATCTAATCTTTTCTGTATTCCATATCCAGAGTCTGTTGTGAAAAACCCGGGACGAAACTTGACTTCGACGTCAGGGTAGGTATACCATATTTCGGACAGCCAAAAGAGGACGCCTTCCGCTCGGACGAAAATTTCAAGGCGAAAAAGGAAAACATGTCTGGGAAAAACCGAATTTGTGGTAACCCTACGTCAGGGCCTATAACGTTAGGTATGGCCATGTGTAACGATTATAATAACAAACATATGTATAAGGATGGCACGGAGAAGAGCGACTGAATATCCAGGGGTTCAGTAGTGTAGCGGTCAAGCAATTGACCGGCAGCCAGGAGACCTGGGTTCATTCCTTGGCCGTCTCCAGGTGTTCTTTCATCCTACCTGACTCTGTTAGTTAGGCCATCAGCATTACGCTATGACTAAGCTTGATTTTAAGGCAAAGTAGGCCTACGCCTTTAATGGACTTATCGGATTTTCAGATGGTTTTGTTGGCTGCCATGGAATATGAAAGCTGAAGGAAAACAAAAAATAACCTAGCCTGATGAATTGCCATCAAATTCTCACAGGGGCATGCAATGCCGGAGATCGCACTTTCTCCGTTGGCTTCGTGGAAGGAGTGCCTTTCACGGTCAGTTTTAAAATTTATTTTGGTACTGTACTAATCCTAAGGAATTAGGCCTAGGTCCTGTCACATGTTTAGTCTTAAGAGAAGGAACTAACTCAGTGAGCCAATGAAGGCTTGTGAGCACTTCCTTTTTTTCAAAATGCTCCCCATTCAGTGACTGTTACAATTTTATACATGTTTCATGCACTTATTACCTTTTGACTAGGTAAACCACTCATGTATGTAACCAGTGTGTTACTTGAAGGAATGTGGTTATTTTCCTAATATATAATTTGTCCCTCATGTTTGTGGTTTTCCTGTAGACAATCCTTCCCTCCCATTACACGAGTTTGCTTTTACTAACTCACCCCCTATTCTGGGATTCCTTGGTTTGGCTTTCTGAATTGGAAAAATTATTTAATATTTTCAGTCCTAGGCGGCAATTTTTTGGTCATTTTATATGAGAATGTGTCCCCTAATAATCATCTTTAGCTAATAGAATGAGGACCAGGAGTATAAAATGGTCATAGTCCCAGAACTCTACAGTGCTGGCAATTTTGTTAACCTCTTGACTGTAGATTTTCTGTGGGGAGTTTAAAACCTCAGTGTTGAAGAATTCTGAAGAGTAGATACAGATCTTGTCAAGATACAGTGAAAAAAATGAGTACAGGAGTTGTAATCACAAAAAATTTTATATTTATACTTATCTTAAATGGCACTGACAATCATTTGCAGTCCCTTTCCTTCCTAGAAAATTGGGAGGTGCATGCCATGTATGCTATGGGTCACAATGTGCTGAACCTGAGAAGTCACAGGTGTGACTGGCAAGGGGTTAATTCAACCTTAAAGCCGAGCATAGTACCTTTTTATGTCTGTATATTGGAGGACCCTTATTGCAGCCTGACAATATGTAGGTAACTGTCATTTGAATGCTGAAGTTTAAGGTGATTCATGTTTGATTCGAGTTGTCAGACAGTGCCAGGGAGCTGGATCCCACTATTACCTGCTATTTTGCAGTGTGATATGTGCTTGCCCTCAACTGAGCCTTTTCTCATCATCATAGTCAAAGCAGGGTGCTTGTGTATATATCATCAAGCATGCCTGACAGAGCTTCATGCATGTTAGAAATTAAATATTTCAGTTCTAACTTGACATAAATTTTTTATATGTATTTTATAAAACTGTAATCAACATTTTTGTATTTTTAAGAGGAAACTATTTTCTAAAAGGGCAATACAGGCTCTAAGGCTCTAAGAATCAAGGATTGACAACATTTTAAAAAATGTAGGATTTTTTGAGTATGCTATTTTATAGTTAAAAAATATTTAAATGTAAGTCGTGAGAAAATATGGTAATCTTTAGTGTGAAGATGAAAGAAGTGGAATTACAGCTATATCCATTCTTGATACAATACAGTAAAGTTTTCTTTTTTTTTTTACCTGTAGCCCATATTTTGGTGGTGCTATTAAAAGACTATAGCCACTTGAAAAACAAGTTGCTCTGTTGCCTTTTTTCCATGAGATTCAATGGGATGAGCGGGAAGAACTCAGGATTGAAGAAGGTACCTGCATAATTTCAAAATTTCACTAATGAAATGTGTTCTTAATGCTATTTATGTTTTAACTGTTAAGTTTTTTGTTCTTTGATCATTCAAAGCTTGAGGCCATTATTGGGCCTGGATTAGTGGATTGTGGCATTAAATTAAAAGGGTTGGAATTAAAAAGTGCACAAAAAGTTCATTTTCCCTTTCATTTTCTTTTTTTCTTTTGAAATTCATCTGTTATAACATTGCTCAGCACCACTGCCTTTTCTGAAACACTTGCCCTTTTTCCTCATCCATGAGATTCAGAAATATGGTGCAATTTGTTCATGGATACCTATTGTAAAGGAAACCCTTCTCATACCTCTGCTGTGGATACAAACAAGCTACTTGAACAGTCAAATACTACCAGGGCAGGGCATGGGTAAGAGTAGGCCTACCTGATGTGTAAACCTAATTGACACTTCATTCCTAATATGAAATGTAAACCTGTTGGATTAGACATCCAGGCTCAGCCCATACTATGTGTGATTAGATTAGAAGTAGTAGGATAAAGGCCTGTCCTAATGGAAGATGATGCTAATTGTTACTTTCTTCTGTAGGCATATACAGCTGGGAGCAATATTGTCATCTTGGCAAGCAACTTTGAACGTGTCCAGATCATCCCAGGTGTTATGCATGAGAATGTTCACATCAACTGCATTGATAGCTCCACTGATACAGGAAAGATTGCAGCTGCCTATCGAAACCATGTCATCATCTATGAACCTGTGCCCCTCATCTTACATAATTCAGTGCATGTAAGTATCAGAAAGGGCACATTTCCTTATGTTTTTTATTACTCAGGTCATGATCAAGTGCTTATTCCTCCTTACAGCGTTTGGATTATAAGTGGGTGGAAACCAGTCAATTGAAAGCTGACTGTAGCATTAACACTTTGGCCTGGAATCTGGAAGGAACAAGAATCATCACAGCTGGTGAGATGATCCAGATGTGGCAGGTTGTCATAGCTGAACCCATTCAAAAACCTCCAGAAGAAGAGCCAGTAAAAAGTGAGTGAAGTAGACATTCTCTCTCCAGCTTGCAAAGACAGAATGACATTTAGGTCTATGTGAATGTCTGAATAGAAGTGAAGTTTCGCCTTGGAGAAGACATAGAAGTGCCAAATGCCTCTCATTCACCACAATGGGCTGGTGATCATGAAGATGACTCTTGGGAATGCATCTGGAGTTGTAGCACACCAAGTCCTGTGTATTTCCTTGCGTACTCTACTGATGGGACCTTGTTTGCAACTGCAGGAAAGAATGACCGTGTACCCAAAGTCTGGTTTGAGAATTATCACAGTGAGTCCTTCTTGAATGATTTGTCAGATTGCACTCTTGTATTTCATGCTAAGTAGAAGAAAGGGAGATGTGAGCATTTTATGACAGTGGCTACTTGGGATAATGCTCAGTCTTCACTTCTTGCTGTATTATATCTTTTCTTATGTCATAAGAGATCAAAGAATTGTCAGAAAATTCTCCTTGTTCTACTAGATTTAGGCTAGAAAGTTTTGGTAACCATGGAAAAAAAATCACTGGGAATCCTAAAGTCTTGGTTTGTATATTAAATCCACAACTCAGAATTGTCTGGTACTGGTATGACACTTATTCACTTGATTGTCATCTGTTTGGCACATCAAGTACTGGATCTAGACCTTCATGAATCATCTTTTCATTTCAGGTTCACTTGGGAGCATAGCGACAGTTTGATCTGACTTAGATAATGTTCCCCTAAATTAAAAGATGAAAAATGTTCCATATATGTGTATGCTGATCTGGAATGAACGGTGTTTAGAGTACATTCCTACTTGGGTCGATTTTATTTATATTTCACGTACTGGCCCTTGTATCACATAGATATGTCAGATTGAGAAATTATAACTATGTAGTAGTGCACATGAATAATGGAGAAACTGTCAAGGGTATCCTATTGTCCATCTTCCTGATTCATGATATTGTAATTTGCTCTATGGAAGAGCTGGGAACTCAGTAGTTTAGCAAATCTTGAATTTATTAAAGGAATCAGTTGGTTGTCTTGTAAGTGCTACTAGTAAGGGCCCTGGAAGCATTGTAGATGTTCAACATCAAAATGTTGCATTGCATCATTTGAGATAATGAATACAGGGGAGAGTTCTCATGCAATGCTGATATGTTAGAATGAGAAGCCTCCTGAATAATGAGGTAGATGTAGGCCTTTGGAGTTATTCCTAATCTCATACAATGAATGGATCATTGTCCTTCTTCCTTATTTGGTAAGGGTATCTTCATATGCTATGAAAGGTCGAGTTCTTTGAATATATTGTTGCTGACATCAGATGCAAAGTAGTCTGAAGTATATGGTCATGCCAGTAAATTCATCCTATGAAAAACAAAAAGATGTGGACTCTGATTCTATTATAATGACTTCTTGATTTTTTTTGTGGTTGTGAGCATAGTTACCTGAGCTCCTAGGAAATCTCTTTAAAATGTTAAAATCCATAACTTCTTGCACTAGAATGTTCTTTTAGTTTAGTGGTAGGGCTTATTCTTTAGAAGTTAGGGTTAAGTTAGCAGGCAGTATCTCAAAATTATGTTGCATATATATATGAATGACTTTGATATCACTTGAAAGATGAGATTCTGAAGATTCAGAACTAAGCAAGTTTCAAGTGCTAGCAGTCTTATTCATGAAGGAAAATTTGTGGCAAAGTTGTAAAATTCACATAATGTTGGACAAAATTTTTTTATCTGTTTGATGGAATTATAAGCCTTCTGATGTGCCTTAATTGAAAAGTGACACTTTGTGGTCAGACCAGGTGTCATGATGCTTGAATTCAATTTTTTCACTAATAATTTATGGTTATGATTTTCATGTTTAGCTAGCATTCCTAAAATTTTATAAGCTACTTCTCAAATTTAGAATCATAATTTATTTATACCAGTTGCATTAAATTTAAGTGCTTTTTGTAGTGGCACAGTCACTACAACTGCCACTAGTAGGTGTGTTCCTTGCAGCTGTGAAGTAGAAGGGGTGCTGAAGTGGCCTCAAACCCCCTTAACCCTTCCCTAGCCTCCTTCTGCTTGTATGATGATACAAGCAGATACAAGTTTCCTGTGTATTTGTCTCAAAACAAATTTTTCAGTTATCCCTATTTTTTCATTTTTTGCATTTCTATGCAACAGTTGAAATTTGTCTCTCAATTAAAATGAGTATAAATGACTAAACAAGCAGCATTTGAAGCTTCCAAGCTGTGTGCACATCAGCAAATTTTTCTAGATTTTCAGTTTCAGAAAGTTTGCTTAAATTTTAGCATTTAAATTCCAATTTCTCTAAGCTATTTCATGGTAGCAGTGTGAAACCTGATCTTAATATATGTCCAGGAAATTATTCAAGCATACTAGAGTGCTAATGCTTCCATGGAATTGGCAGGAAATAATATTCATCCATTATTTGCCAATTTTATTCAAAATTTGCTGTTTTGTTATTTCAGTTTTTCCCTGAAGACAGCATACGTAAAGAAAATTTGAAATGCTATGCATCACTTGTTTCACATCTCTAAAATGTAATTAAAATCATTCTCTTATGCACAATATGCATATCCTAGTTCCCAAGGAATTTCTCAGTGTTTCTAAAAAGCTGCTGGTCAGAATTTACCCAAGGCTTGCCACTGTGGACAATCGTTTATATTATTTGAAAACATTGTCAAAGCTATTAAGAATGCATTTTGGCAATATGCATAGAGAAATTGTGAAAAATGTGACTTTCCTCTGAATAATCAGGGTAAGAGTTTTTTCTGAAAACTTTATATCTCAATCTGAATTCTGGTTGCTCTAATCTGAGCACTATAGAGCCTTCATGTAGGTAAGTTTTTCCAATTTAGAGTGAGCAGAGTTTAAAAATTATGGCTGGTTGACTCATTCCTATATTTTGGAACAATGGAAACTCAATCAAGGTGTAAAGTTTCAGTTTCCAGCAAAACAATAATCAAAATAATGTGCATCAGGTTATATTTAGCTTCTTCATGGAGTTGTCACACCCAGTGACAAATTTGAACCAATGCATGTAAAGTGTAACTATATATCAACAAAAGCAATGTCTTTTGTAGGCTTGAAAGTGAAGAGATGAAAAATGCAAAACCTCAGGCTATGATACAAATGAGTCAATGTGGTTCCCCTTCTATCAGCATTTTTAAGTGGTGCCATTATCTGCCACAGCAGTATCAGTCAATGTTTCATGGCTTTGGATCAAACTTTGTTCAGTGTTTGAATTTTTTTTTGAAGAAACTTTATTTGGAAGACTTCATAGAGGTAAACATTGTTTGTTGCCTCAATTTAACTTTCTGGTAATAGCTTTGAAACTGAATGATTAAGTGTCATTAATCTGAATAGAAAATCAAAGTTGATGTTTTTTATTTAATTTTTTTTCTGGAAACTTAAGTTTACACCTAATTTGAATTACTTCTTCCAGAATGTTGAAATGACTAATCAACCTGTCTGGTTTTATTTTCCACCTTTAAGAACCAGATAATGTTCACAAAAGGTAATTGCATACATGGTGTGTCATGTGTGCATGCATGCAGTAGTGCTTGAAACTCTGCTTACTCACTCATCCCAGGAAGTGGATTCTGGAAAATGTAGATAAATGCACAATGACTTCTATAAGTTAAGAGGGAATAATCCTTAGCCACAAGTATATTTGTTTTCTTTGGTAGTGAGCTTCCTATTTGATTCCTTTATTAGTATATATGGGAAAGACTTTAAGCTCACTCAGGAAAAAAAAAAATCGAGTCAGCTGGGGAATGCAGTTCATTTAATCATGGGAAAAATAAATGATTGCTGATAATTCAAAGTGCAGCATTTTTATTCAGGTGCAGGTAGACAATTTATAATTACCAGCCTCATTTTGTGGCCTTCTCGTCAAAATACAAATGAGATTGAAGGTCAGGAGAGATCATATCTCATGGCTGCAATGAACCTGTTCCTCCCTAGTTTCTCTTCCCTTTATACTTTCTTGTTTTTATTCTCTATCTTTGGTCAGAAATATGTTCACAGGATAAGTACTAAAGTACAAAATGTTCTCTCTGAGGCTGTTTTCTTAGTTTTGCAACTTTTTTCTTAAAAATTTATGTATATTTTCTGGTATACCTTTGCATTACAGTATAGGTTAACTTATTATTCTATACTGAACATATGTCTCTAGTTACACCTTGTTATACAGGGTGAGTGGAAAGTCACTCCCTATTTTTAAATTGTAATAATTTTTTTTTGGACTAGAAAAATAATTTTTGTGCAAAAAAAAAAAACAGAATTCGATAGGATTATATGATATACCCACCATACCTCATACCAAGGTCCAGAGGTAGTGGTGAAAGGAGAAAGCCTTATATGCAACTTCCACCTCCTGTGCCTCCACACCTCATACTGTGCAGATATTTGTGCATGGTGTCGAATATTCAATTTTGGCGCCATGGAGGGTGACTGGAAACAAACAAAACAATTAAATCATAAAATCCTAACAAATTCTCTTTCTTTGGGCGCAAAAAAATCATTGTTCTAATCCAAAACTTACAAAAGTTATTAAAATTTTCATAGAGGGAGTGACTTTCCATACACCACGTATATATACCGGGTGGCCCAAAAAAACGTTCCAAACTTTACACGCCTGCAGACGGTGTACCATATGAGTTATCGACAGGAAATTACAGGCTTTTACATGCAATGTTTGCAGGTAATGTAACAAAGATATCATTGAAATTGGTTGTAAACTACGTGAGTAATAATTTTTCTCCCGCGCAATGTCAAAAGAGCGAGTGTGCATAGAAACGCGCCTGAACTCAACGAAAGAACTGCTTGATGTGCCCTTGGATCGCGGGCTGAAGCAGCCCGCCATCAAACGCACTGACACACTAGCTCATTTGACGACTTGTACGGAAAGAGCTCTTACTCGTGTTCAGAACAAGAATTTCATTGAAATTTTCCTAGAGCCACCTACCTATATTGGGTATGACACACTGAAAATTTCAAGACGATGCTTAGCAAGGTGTCCAATATGCAGCCGCACGAAGTTCTGAATGTTTTTTTTCGGGCCATCTGGTATATAATGTGATCGATATACATGGACAGAAGAGTAAGCCTTGACCAAGTAGCCCAGCAACCGCTGAAATCTTCCGACAGGAATCCTGAAACTATTGTAGAGTGCCGGGCAGAAAAAGGTGAAAGAAAAAGAGACGCTTTAGGCTCGATTATTGATGTCATTCGACCGGTTTCGTCAGGGGGTGTATGGCCGGCCTAGAGCACCAACAGCCATTGCAACCTGTTTTTGC